TGTCTGTGCCGTGTCGGGAATCTCATTCTGATCTGTGAAGGTTAGTGTGAAGTTCGCATCTCGAGAGCTGGGAATATTTTCCGGGAGAAGTTCGTGTATCTGGTTGTTCCCGCCCGGAGCTTTCAAGTATTTAACGTACTTGATCTTTGGTCTATTCCGTCATTATCTGATACGAATGCTTATCATAGCGAACGTAGCGATGTTGAGTTGCGCGAGACTCTGTCAACGATAGCCACTTAATTTCGGAACTAGCTGGCAGTGATGAGCCAACACCCCCCCCCCCCCCTGATACTCCTTGTGTTGCTGATTTTAAAACTCAGACTTTGCCCTTCATTGCCGTATCTATATTCTAAAGTGAGACTCACTCTAGGCCTGAGCATTTCGGACAGCTAGTCCGAAAGGCTAGCTGTCCGAAGTGGTTAGCTAGCTCCGCAGCTTCTGTTTAGAACAAGCCTTGAGACCACAACACATGACTTGACATAAGTTTACCAGTGCTTGTCGCTCGATTCTATCATCTAAGTTAGGGGGTTACCCTAATAGGGTAACCATACAAGCCTACGTAATGTAGAGTAGGGCAAGGATTGCACTGCGAGCACTGGTCCTCGACGCGCTCGCATGCAAAGCTACTAAACATGAGGTATACTTTGCGTGCCGTAATCGATCTGCCCCAGGTATCAAGTAGAAATCTGAACCTCTCGGAGCTAATCTAATACGACGTCACACGTTCGGAGTTGCTCAGACTTGTACTGCTAATACATGCTGTAGTTGCCATCGCAAGCTGTTCTTGTTAGGTTAAGACTATTTACTGATTTGTCTCACATTCTATCATAAGCTCACCTGACTTAATTGCAAGCCTTGAATCAAGGCTTGCAATTAAATCAAGGCCCTTGATTCATCGATTATAAGTCAAAAACAGCATCTTGTGAAGTGTTGCCAAGAGTCCAGCGACGATCCGCCTGAGAAGCACAACAAATAACAAATTATGATTCGCAGCACATAAGTTCAACTAGGGCTAGCTACCCTGAGGGTGTGCCCGTAATTATGAGGTAGATTCTAATTCTTGAATGTTCTGAAGTTATTCTGAGATAGCGATGCTTGCGGGTGGTGCATAGTCCAAACTGAGGTCATCACACTATCACGACTCATAATTTACGAGCTGACGTGTTATTCTACGGTATTCAAGTAGGGAAGCACAGGTCGTTCGATAGCCAACCGTCGATTTTAGACGACCAGCGCCACAGCGACTTAGTTTCAGTAAGAGAGTTTCTCGGCGATTCCTCATCATAAACGTGTGTGTCAAACACAGTTTGATATAATTGATTCTTGTAGACCTCTTTTACGAGGTGACACTCACGTTAGGTTCGGACAGAGGGCTCGAGCAACTGAGACGGATTGTGTCATACTAACAGTGTTGGTTCAACACCGTGTTGGACCAACACTGTTGGCAACACGGATCGGAGTTTCAAAGGGTAAAACTGAGCGTGTCGTATACAATGTATGAACTCTGTAAACGAATCGTACCTCTGTAAATTCTGGGTGATGTAATCACGCAGGCGATGTGTAACTATAAAAGCTTAGCCCAGTTATACATTGTCTGCATGGTAGCTAATTGAGCTAACGTCGTTCAGTGGAAGGCGTAAGCTATAAAGACAAGTCACGGAGTACGGCTCGAGTCAACTATAAAGGCCAGTTACGGAGGTCCGGCTCTGATTTTCTTGGGAATCAGATATAGATATACACAGGTCGATCACTCAGGAACGCCTCTGGTGAATTTCGTCGTTATCCTCAGCAGGAAGTCATCCAGCCATCGACGAATCATGTTCCCCCAGGCCAGCCCGAGTTTTATGAATGTTTCTAACCGACATAGCATTGTTCGATAATCTCGCGCGTCCCCAACTTGCGTGCGACGATTCACTGACAGCTGCTTCTTGCCAGCGAGTTGTATTACACAACTTGTGAATCACTTGGAAGATTGGGCCTATCACAAGTTGTGATCGGCTTGGTCTTTCGACTTGAGTTATCGACTTCACTGTGTAGAGTTATGAAATTCATGTCCATATATAGTTCGTCACAGTGTGACGGTCACACCGCTAGCTTTACCATGCTAGTCACCGACGCATTCGACAGTCGAATTCCGACTCGAAGATGGGCCGGTCTTCATCAAGTTGCCCAGCAAATGATATGGGTCCCGAAAGCTCGTCAGACAAGCTCGGAACGGAAGTCGTGACGGAAGACTCTTCCGTCACTGCTGGAAATCCTGCGAATAGCCCAGCTGTTTTCGGAAGCGAAGCTCTTGGTGAAGAGCCATGTTGACCATGGATGTTTGACCAATGATGTTGTTGAGAAAAATAATTTTACTAAAAGTTACTCGATAAAAGGATTCAAAGCCCATTGACCGTCAATCGGCTCGAAATTTTCCCATCGTTAGTTCGCCTGACGAACTTCGTCAATGATTGACGAATTTTAATGGCCCATGATGGGCGAGCGAGCTCCGCCCCTTCGTCACGAAGCCCTAGTCATCAGAGATAGTGGAGAACAGCCCGCCTTGGATCCAACCATTCACTGGTACAAAGTCCGAAGATTAGTTTCCAGAAACAGCATGAAATCGTGTTTTATCTCATGAGTTAGCCAAGCTCTCAAACTTACCCGGCGTTGGTAGATACATGTTCCGAAGCTCGGGATCCCACAGGCCTTTGATGGGGTACTCGTAACTAGAGTGGATGCGGGATGGCAGAAAAGCTCCAAAAAGGCGCTGGCTTTGTCACCCAATTTCGTCGGCCATTTTATGAATTTTATTACATTTTGTGAATAAGAAATATCTGGGTAGGAAAGTATCTGCCAGAAGCGGATCACCGATATATAGACCAACACAGGACACGTCAAATATCACAAGGATGGAGGCAGCGTTGAGAAATGGATTGCGATCACTTGATGAGCGGGTAGACGACTGCGATATGGACCTACTATGGAATGACTTCAAGGAGAGTTTGCGACAAAGCTACGAGTTGGCAAAAGAACGAGAAGTAGCCAACCGCTACGGAAGAACACCAGCCAGCGGCCGTGGGAGCAGAAGAGAATTACGAGCAGGGATTCATCAAGCAGTCGAAGAGATCAGGCACACCCCCATGCATGATCACCGATCAATATGGAGTCTTCTCCGTAAAAGATTGGGAGTTAAAGGTAGGAGTGATACCATACCGGGGATCCTACAAGCCGAGGACTTCGCAGCATACATGAGAGAGCTGTACACACCACCAGATTACAACCATCCGAGGGTACCAGCGAGAGAGACAGGGAGACCCGTTGGCTATCGGGATCCCGAGGAGGACCCTCAACCGGCACCGGCACCACCTTCCCCGAACGAGGTCTTCGAGGCTACAGCTAGGTTGAAGAAGGGCAAGGGCCCAGGTATCGATGGGATTAGCGGAGACCTTCTCAACCAAAGCCCAGTTTTGCAGCGATGGATCCATAAGATATGTGAGAAATGTTTCGTGGCAGAAAAGCAGCCAACTGAATGGCTAACGAGTAAAGTGACACTCATCAAGAAGGGCCGGAAAGCGGCAGACACAGTGATGTCCTATCGAACGGTGATGGCACAAGTAGCGGCGGCGAAAATTTACTCAGCGGTTATATTGGGAAGGATCAGAGACCAGTTGGATAAAAGGATTCACCACTCACAATGCGGATTCAGAAAATTTCGGTCTGCAGTTGAAGTCATACATGCTACGCAATTGCTGAGAGATGCATGCATAGCATATAATCGACCCCTCTGCCTACTGATGGCAGACTGGAAGAAGGCATTCGATAAGTTGGATAGGAAGTTCATGATGGACTGTCTACAGGCGGCGGGTATTCACCCAAAATATTTGAGAGTAATAGAGCAGAGCTATTCGGATGCAGTGGCATCATTGACAGTTCATAGGATTCCTATGATAGGAAGACCTGTGAAGTAAAGTTGGGATCAGGAGTTAAGCAGGGCGATATATGGAGCCCCATTATCTTCATAACATCACTGGATATGATATTGAGACGAAGTATAATAACTGCAAAGCGTGGTTTCGTCCTTCTCAGAGAGCATGACTACAACCACCGACACACTCGATTCTCTGAAAGATCGTATAGCTTACAAGAACCTATCGGGTGCCTATGCTTCGCTGATGATATTACGGTCCCAACAAACTCTCAAGGAGAGAGTGACCTTGCACTGGATGCGTTAGAAGAGGAGGCTGCCCCAGCAAATCTCAGCTTGGGAATCGGTGAACCGGAATGTAAGACAAGGAGGCTACTTATCAATTGTCAACACGACAGCGAGCATAACAGTGTGGCAGTGGTTACGGAGTATCGGCAACTGGGAGTCTTAATATCTAGTGAAGCTGGATACGTGAAGGCAATACGTGATCGAATTCGAGTCGCGGGAGCTAACCTTCATCGGCTCCACAACATCTGGAAGTCCCACGACATCGGTATTCGAGGTAAGATGGTTGTGATGAGGTCCGTCGTCTTTGCTTCGCTCTTCTATGGATCGGAGACTATGGCCCTTAACAAGGAGGAGACACAAATGTTTAAGACGTTCTACAATACATGCTTAAGGAAAGTGATTCGGTTACCTCCGATGACGACGATGTCTTCCAAGGAGCTCTGCGCTCGTACACGTTCAGCAGGATGTTTGAATGAACTCCGTGCGAGAAGATTGAGATGGTATGGACATCTAATGAGATCACCGGATGATAACGTGGCCAAGAGATTATTAGAGTGGAACCCGAGAGTGCACAATGGATCTCGAGGCGCCCAGGTAGGCCTCGTCAGTCGTGGCTAGAGTTGATCAAACATGACATGCTGAGACAGGCGTTAAAACGAGCACAGCAAAAAATAGAACTTTGTGGGAGCGGAGGATCCGTTTGGGCTGTAACATGCCGCTGAAGCATGATATGATGTAAAAAAGAAGAAAGTAAAAAAAAGGAAAATAAATAAAAAAAAGATTAAAAAAAGATTAAAAAAAGATAAAAAAGATATAAAAAAAAGAAAAAAAAGAAAAAAAAGCGAAAAGAACACAATGAAGAGCATGAATGCACGTTCTGCTGTGTATCAATGGTATCAATGCAACTATTATAGGCGCAAGCCTACTGTATATTTTTTCTCTTCTGCGGTCTGGTCAGCCCTATACTTGACCTCATAACCTCCGTTGCTGCACTAGGTGTAGCTCGGAGTCGCCTAGCCGTACGACGGCTGCGAGCGAGAGAGAGAGAGAGAGAGTGTATTCTGGTTATGATATCAATGATTTGGATGAGTTGGATTATAGTGAGGATACGGGTACCAATGACTTAACGGGGACTGACTCTGGTTCTAACCAGGGGAATGACTTCCCTCCCTCCACAGAAAGCTTTGAACATGGTTGCTATATCGTGTGAAGCATAACGTTGTCTGCAGGCCCGAGGACGGTATAGCGTGCTAGGAGTCATGACAGGTCTTGTGACTGGGTACCATTTATTTGCAGAATCGTTCGTACCTAGAGGAGGCCGAGAGCACAATCCTCGTCTCATCTTTCCTCCTAGTATATGGGCCATATCATATGGCTATTGGGCTTCGTTGAGACTGTTGACTTGTGTTGATAGTCAGTATTGTATGCACCAGTTGGCTACGAGCAACACGCGTTGTAACGGCGAAGAGAGCTAGTGCAAGCAGAGAACGTCTCCGAGATTCTAAGGAGCGTTTAGCACCAGCTTAGCTGGTCCAGCTATGAGCCTGCAACGGGCTCGCCGAACAAATAGCCAATATTTGCTCAGAATTCGATCCGGAACGGGGCGGCCCTAAAATGGAGCTCTTCTTCTTTGGAGCGGCAGGCGCGCAGCCTGTTGGACTAGACGACGTAGGATCGATCCGAGATCGAAATGAAAGAAACACAAGTAGAATGACAATTCGTAGAACGGTGTGATGCCCATCCAGTATCAGTCACGGCATGCCGTTGCCAAAACACAAGTTTTGTGTATTTCCAACGGAAAATGGACCGAACGGATAATGAGTGACCAGTGGTGGAGAAGTCCCTTAGTTTAAATACTCGACTCAACGAAAGCCATCGCAGGGAAAGCCCAATTGGAACTGGAGTATATCTTGCTTTCTCGATCGGGCGTATCTTCGCTGCCAGATGAGGACAGAGATCTCCTCGTGCTGCTGCCATCATGTGTCCCCTCGATGAGGGTACTTTCATGGCCCTTTTGAAGCTAGGAATGGCATGGACTGCTCATCAATATCGTATGGGCTGTACAGACGAGGATTATCAGTGAGTAATGATAACTGTCGAGCTGACAGTGAGTTTTGCAGGGAGTTTTAGTCTATTGGTTCTGACTCGTCTGTTGGCTTATGAACTCGTTCACGACTTGTTGGTATTCCCAATTGAGCTTCGGGACAATACTGTGCCGGCGAGTGAGGGTATGTAGAATATTGGAGGAGCTCCTTTGAGCAGCACCGGTCTGCTGCTTTTCGGGTCGGATCATGTGGCACACGGCTAGACATGGCACACATACGATGCAGTTACACAAAATTTGAATCCTACTGTGGTCAGTTCGAGGAAATTCTTCCATTTTCTGGACTCAACTGGAGGAGACACGTCCTTGCCCAGTCGATTGTAACACTTGGCCCAGTCCAATATTTTCTCGACCAGCAGTAACCGCGCAAGGAAGAGCAACGCTGTTTGATACAGAGCACGTTGTCAGCTTTTCTTCAAGCTCACATTAGGCTTCGTATAGACCATAATCATCATAATATACTTTCCGTGAGTTCCTCCAGTGAGCTGAGCATCGGCATCGCCTTGCATGAGGTCATATAAACCAGTCGATCGACCAGAGATCCAGCCTGCTGATCGACTAATGTGAGGAAGTTGTCTGGGGTTACCCTGACAACCCTCCAGTCGAGTCTTCTGCTAGTTATCGCGAGCATATCCTAGATTTCCAGTCAACTTCAGCTAGTTTCGGCTTGCAACTTTTTTTGTATATTACTGATATGAATTATATACGTATTGCTTGGGACTCTCAAGTTGGGAGGGGACAGCACTCGATTTTCGAAATGAACGTGAAGGTTAAAAAATTGTCTGTGATTCGAACCTGCGACCTACCTTGCATAGTGCAAGTTGCACTTACATATATTCATGATATTTCGACACGCTAGAAGATAATAAACAACACGCGATACGCCAGAAGCAATGTCGAAACATGATACACAGCAATCTGTCTTATAATTAGGTCTTCCATTGCCAAACCAAGTCAAGAGTCAACTGAACCGCATGTATACCATTTCAACACATAGGAGCGGAAATTTTCCACCTCTATGTGTTGAGCTGTGGCCATCGTCAGCTCTGACAGTCATGGCACAAGTAGGACTGTAAAAGGTTGGAAAAGGTAGTTCGTAGAAAAGTCGAGTTTATGGTTATGGCCGATCACGTGACTTGGTGACGTGACGTGACGTGGAGTGTTCATGGAACGGTACGTGATATGCGTGTCTCGGGTCGGGTTGACGTTGAATGGGATGATGAACCCGGTACGATTGAGACTCTTGATCTTGATGATGATGGGCCAGCATAAGTTGCTGAGATGAGGTTTTCTCTCCATTACCTAGAATAATCAGTTCAAGATCATAACCATTAAAAATTACAGTATGGTAGGTTTCGCTGTGAAACTTTCGCACAGGTGACGCCACTGACTTGTGCATGCGTACGGATATTTTACGCTAGAACACAACATGTGGGCTCAGCGCAATCAGTTCGTGTTAAGTATCGAGAATCTCCCCGTATCCATATCTTGGCTCAAGTTCGAGTTGTGTTGTGATAACCGTCGTGAATCATATCATGGTGACCTTCTCGGACTCAATTTGGCACTCAGTTAACTATCTGTAACATGGGAGTTCTGCATCTCATTACCAGTCTGATCATCTACGGTATGGGCGTTCGTGGTCATGTAGCTGTCTACAGGCCGTGCATCGATAAGTCCGGACAATATGGAGAGTATGTCATCAGAATAGAGTTCACAGTCAATGGCGATGTTCTCCTCACCCATCAGAAAGATCCTCTTGGACCTAAGAAAGTTTACACATGCGTGTATGAGTTCGACCCAAAAGAGAAGGAGATGGATGAGGGGTATATTCGAGTTTTTCTCCTGGGTCGCGAGTGTCACAGACTTGTGAAGGACTCCAAGGGCAGACTCAACGACGATTCCCTATATCCCTCCCTCACGTTCCCCAAACTCGACTACTTGTACATGAAGCTAAGAAATTCTACGGCTCTGTATAAGGATAAAGGCGCTTGGCCATGCCCCGTTTAAGCTAATGTTTATCCTTATGAGTTGGTTCGGGAAGGACCGAGTGAGACTCCGATGCCGATGATGAGTCGCATTGCAGGATTTCACTCGGCCAGTCCCCTTGTACTCTTGGCTACAGCTCAGTAGCCATTCATGTGCTAACATGAAAACATTTTGACAGTTCTGATCTGATCATATTCCATATTGATGTGTCGAACCGATCGGCATACGATCTAATGAGGCTTCGCCGTTTATCCAGTAGCTCTTGTCTCACGTGTACTCACCATCAGACTTATTGCTAAATGGCTGGGGCTCACGAGTTTATGTCTGTGCCGTGTCGGGAATCTCATTCTGATCTGTGAAGGTTAGTGTGAAGTTCGCATCTCGAGAGCTCCTGGGAATATTTTCCGGGAGAAGTTCGTGTATCTGGTTGTTCCCGCCCGGAGCTTTCAAGTATTTAACGTACTTGATCTTTGGCCTATTCCGTCATTATCTGATACGAATGCTTATCATAGCGAACGTAGCGATGTTGAGTTGCGCGAGAGTCTGTCATCGATAGCCACTTAATTTCGGAACTAGCTGGCAGTGATGAGTCAACACCCTCCCCCCCCTCTGATACCTGTGTTGCTGATTTTGTTGCCGATTTAAAAGGCTAGCTGTCCGAAATGGTTAGCTAGCTCCGCAGCTTCTGTTTAGAACAAGCCTTGAGACTACAACACATGACTTGACATAAGTTTACCAGTGCTTGTCGCTCGATTCTATCATCTAACTTAGGGGGTTACCCTAATAGGGTAACCATACAAGCCTGCGTAATGTAGAGTAGGGCAAGGATTGCACTGCGAGCACTGGTCCTCGACGCGCTCGCATGCAAAGCTACTAAACATGAGGTATACTTTGCGTGCCGTAATCGATCTGCCCCAGGTATCAAGTAGAAATCTGAACCTCTCGGAGCTAATCTAATACGACGTCACACGTTCGGAGTTGCTCAGACTTGTACTGCTAATACATGCTGTAGTTGCCATCGCAAAGTGTTCTTGTTAGGTTAAGACTATTTACTGATTTGTCTCACATTTTATCTTAAGCTCACCTGATTTAATTGTAAGCCTTGAATCAAGGCTTGCAATTAAATCAAGGCCCTTGATTCATCGATTATAGGTCGAAAAGAGCATCTTGTGAAGTGTTGCCAAGAGTCCAGCGACGATCCGCCTGAGAAGCACAACAAATAACAAATTATGATTCGCAGCCCACTAGGGCTAGCTACCCTGAGGGTGTGCCCGTAATTATGAGGTAGATTCTAATTCTTGAATGTTCTGAAGTTATTATGAGATAGCGATGCGGGTGGTGCATAGTCCAAACTGAGGTCGTCACACTATTACGACTCATAACTTACGAGCTGACATGTTATTCTACGGTATTCAAGTAGGGAAGCACAGGTCGTTCGATAGCCAACCGTCGATTTTAGACGACCAGCGCCACAGCGACTTAGTTTCAGTAAGAGAGTTTCTCGGCGATTCCTCATCATAAACGTGTGTGTCAAACACAGTTTGATATAATTGATGCTTGTAGACCTCTTTTACGAGGTGACACTCACGTTAGGTTCGGACAGAGGGCTCGAGCAACTGAGACGGATTATGTCATACTACACGGTGTCACCGAGTTGGACCAACACTGTTGGAAACACGGATCGGAGTTTCAAAGGGTAAAACTGAGCGTGTCGTATACAATGTATGAACTCTGTAAACGAATCGTACCTCCGTAAATTCTGGGTGATGTAATCACGCAGACGATGTGTAGCTATAAAAGCTTAGCACAGTTATACATTGTCTGCATGGTAGCTAATTGAGCTAACGTCGTCCAGTGGAAAGCGTGAGCTATAAAGGCAAGTCACGGAGTACGGCTCAAGTCAACTATGAAGGCCAGTCACAGAGGTCCGGCTCTGATTTTCTTGGGAATCAGATATAGATATACACAGACCGATCACTCAGGAACGCCTCTGGTGAATTTCGTCGTTGTCCTCAGCAGGGGGTCATCCAGCCATCGACGAGTCAAGTTCCCCCAGGCCAGCCCGAGTTTTATGAGTGTTTCTAACCGAAATATCAATGTTCGATAATCTCGCGCGTCCCCAACTTGCGTGCGACGATTCACTGACAGCTGCTTCTTGCCAGCGAGTTGTATTACACAACTTGTGAATCACTTGGAAGATTGGGCCTATCACAAGTTGTGATCGGCTTGGTCCTTCGAATTGAGTTATCGACTTCACTGTGTAGAGTTATGAAATTCATGTCCATATATAGTTCGTCACAGTGTGACGGTCACACCGCTAGCTTTACCATGCTAGTCACCGACGCATTCGACAGTCGAATTCCGACTCGAAGATGGGCCGGTCTTCATCAAGTTGCCCAGCAAATGATATGGGTCCCGAAAGCTCGTCAGACAAGCTCGGAACGGAAGTCGTGACGGAAGACTCTCCCGTCACTGCTGGAAATCCTGCGAATAGCCCAGCTGTTTTCGGAAGCGAAGCTCTTGGTGAAGAGCCATGTTGACCATGGATGTTTGACCAATGATGTTGTTGAGAAAAATAATTTTACTAAAAGTTACTCGATAAAAGGATTCAAAGCCCATTGACCGTCAATCGGCTCGAAATTTTCCCATCGTTAGTTCGCCTGATGAACTTCGTCAATGATTGACGAATTTTAATGGCCCATGATGGGCGAGCGAGCTCCGCCCCTTCGTCACGAAGCCCTAGTCATCAGAGATAGTGGAGAACAGCCCGCCTTGGATCCAACCATTCACTGGTACAAAGTCCGAAGATTAGTTTCCAGAAACAGGCATGAAATCGTGTTTTATCTCATGAGCTAGCCAAGCTCTCAAACTTACCCGGCGTTGGTAGATACATGTTCCGAAGCTCGGGATCCCACAGGCCTTTGATGGGGTACTCGTAACTAGAGTGGATGCGGGATGGCAGGAAAGCTCCAAAGAGGCGCTGGATTTTTCACCCAATTGCGTCGGCCATTTTCTTGTACTCCTGCAGTTTATCAAGCCTGATCTTCTCGAACTCTGTATGTCCATTGAAACAACTGAGGATAGGCAACATACCTCTACCGCTAGTGAAAATACTACTTTGTGAATATCCATGGCTTATCCACTAGGTCAGGATGCATCGTTCCAACGAGGATGTGCCAATGCTCCTCAGTTCCCTCATGGCGGTACCAATGATCAACACCTAAGCACACTTGACATTTGAATGGAGAGCCCTCGGGAACATCGTCTCAAGAATAACATAGAACGTTGACATACTCAACCTAGCGGCATCGTTGTATCTCTATTTGAATACTATACATTCAGGATAGCAGCTGACGTGAAAACTACTATCCCATGGCCTTCTTCGATTGGACCCTACACTGTCTGATCCGAACAACCGTCTCGGGAGTACACGAGTCTTGACCCACTACACACCCAAACACATCAATCCTTATATTATCGCCACTCATTGATCCTCAGTCCTACTCCCTCAGCTATGAGGCTAGTCTATTCCTATTGTGTTCCGCAACTACACTCATCACGCGGTTATCTCTTGCTTCGCGACTGCCCCCACTATAGAGAGATAGTATTAAACTCACTATCGTCAAGAGTGATGACTTCGCCTGCTTTTATTTCTCTCTCATCATCACCACAGCCGACCCAAACGCCCTCGCATCCAATGAGGCCCATAATGCTGGTCAACCGTGCATTACTACCGCCATTGTGGCGAACCACTCTCGTACCTTAGCGCCTTCGAGCATACACAAGTGGAGGATTATCCTCACCGGGGGTCATCCGAATAATTGTGATCTCCTCGTTATTGTACGATACATAAGGTAGGCCTTGGAAACTCTTAGTCGCTCGTGTTCTTCCAGGCAATGCTTTGACCAGTCGGTGGGAGGTCTTGGGAAAAATGGACTACAAGAACATTCTGATGATACGCTCTCAATCTCACTCGATTAACCTCAGAAAATGCGGTTGTAGCTCGCTCTGTGTATAGCTGGTACTGTTGCCATTTCCCACCAGGGTCCGTGAGCATAGGCTGCACATCTTGCATGGTCCATCGCACCTATACTTCCATTCGACGAAGAGTTGAAAGAAAGATGGTATTACACCACGAAGGGAAGCACGCAGTTCCTTCTCTATTATAGCCCGATTCTCTAAGAGTGCCTGAGGTAATCCGAAGGACCCGAGTTCGATCCCTACAGATGACACCTCGTTCATAGGCAATTCTTTCCTCTCGTCCCACCATGGTTGTGGAGGCCGCAGATCCGGGATGAATATCGCCGGCGTTTGAAGGATTGATGTCCATGCAATCGGACACTCCGAATTCCACTCGTACTTGCGTGCTTCTTCGAATAACTACGACGATCGAATACAGCAAAGCAACACACCTCACAGCGCGAGCACCTCTTCTGCCAAGTCCCAATGGCCCGACTGCTTCAGAAGGACCAACGACGTGGCATAATGATATTGAGTAGCTCTAAGTAGGAGATGTGTTGTGAATCTTACGCACTCGGAAGATTTCTGTTATTGCCTCTCTTGGAAAGGCGACTTCGTTGCGAACTCTGCGGTGCACACTGGGTGAAGCGCGAGCTTCCGAGCAAAACCAACTGCATAGGGATACAACTCTGGCCGTCTATACTCAAGTAGGGACACGGCACATGCGTGTAGGCCTTCCGGCTCGACAACTCTGAGGGGGAATCTCAATAGATCCCAAGACCGCGGGGATTGGTATCACTGATGTAGCAGAGACTGGTATAAAGTAACCGCTCTCTCAAAAAGAGCTTCCGCTCGTTCTTGTGAACTTCGTATAATTCTAGCGAGGATACTCTTGGACTCATTCGTTCGACACACCCGGTCATACCTACATCCATACCGCTCCATATGACAGATATACAGATTTGTCACTATTTTGTTAACGTGCAATTTCTAGGGGAAGGCACCACACTATTTTGCACCCAAAGTCGCAAGGGTGGAACCTCAATATCAGGCACTAAAATCTAGCCAACTTGAGTTTGGGAAAAACACTCTCAATATGAAATTTAGAAAACTTTCTCCAGGAATATTCAATACCAACTTCGAGACGAGTAAAACACCCAACTTCAATTTGAATGCGTCGCAAGCTGACACCTGAATGTAAGCAAAACTGTGCCCAATTGCGAAACTAAATCATGTTAGAAAACGTCGAATCCTGCAATCTATAGCGAGCGCCACTATCGCATGTTTGTGTTGAAGTGTCGCAAGCACATTCGAGGTTTGGCATTTCGTTGAGGCCGATTCCACACGTTCCCACAGGGGACCATCCTACTCGTCCAAGTACGCATCAGCCAGCTGCTTTGTCCGCTGTACAGTCGTTCTGTCCACCGCTCTAGCGAGATTCCTCTCAAGGAGCTTGAACTTAGCGTCTACGACTCGATTGTCTATGGCAGCCAGGATGGTCCCTCGACTGGATGCTCCCATCAGACGGGCTCGACGGAAATACAATGCCATTGGAAGTGCCACGCCGTAAACTGAAAATGATTCATTCGTGCCCGCTGGGGGTAGACTGATAATTCAGTATCTACGACGTGGTTAGTCAAGACGAACGCATAAATCATCCAATTATTGGTATGCGAATATCTACGAATATGTCCCCTTGTTCCTCCGGCAAGATAAACTTGATTATAGCCGTATCCCTCTCTCCCTCATCGCACTACTTCGATTACGATAAACAGCAAGAGAGATCCATTTATGAATCAATGTTAATGACGACTGAGACCGTTTGTGTAGAGTTCACAAGGAGCGCTAGATTGATCGAGTACTCCCCTGGAGGCTAGCACTCTTCGGTAGAAGAGGGCCATCTACTGGGAAGTCAACATCTGATAGGACACGTACAGTATACGATTCCTGTCTCGTCCACTTGCACCGATGACAATCCCACCCATATCTCCATGCACCTCTACTCAGCTAGTCGATTAAATTCGGCAATACTTAACCAAAATACATACCAAAACCGTGCATTGATTTACTCAGTACTACAACGCGACACACTAGTAATGTCGTTGGATAGAAACAGTTGACCAACATCGTCACCGCGCCTTTCGAAGAATCCTGGGCAGCAGTCAGCTTTTACAACTCTTCCTCCTCATCCTCTTCATCTGACAATTCCTCCTCTTCCTCCTCATCCGACTCCTCAAACTCCTCCCATGGTACCTGAATAATTCCCGTAATAAAATAATATCCGTTTACAATAGCCAACATAGGGGCTATGAGCTCAGACGAGAACACTATTGAGTATAGATGTAAGCAATCGCAGCAGCCGCCTAGCGATTCGAAAGTAAGACAATGCCCAAACTAAAACCAACTTCAAAATGTATGTATATAAATCTCGTAAATTCGTTCATCATTGTCATTTTCTACACAATTATACTATCACTAATCGATAGGGAAATTTTGACTACTATCAAAAATACACACAGAAAGTAGCAGAATAATTACCGCATAAAGTCGGATCATGCTCTTGGACGGCTCCTTAAGAAGCAGGAATTTCCCAGCAAACGACGATGCTCCGTCCTCATCCTCCTCCTCTTCCTCCGCTCCAGGGGCCTTATACTGCATCACCAAGTCCACAATAGCTTGAACAATGCCGAATGCATTAGAGGTGTTCATCCTAAAGAAATGAACTACTTCCAACTCTACACAACTCACCAAAAACCCCCTACCCTATTTGCTTAGCAAACTCCTCAGTTTTGTAGGTCTGGACGCTCAGCAGAGAATGGTGAAAAGGGTCATTCATGCGAGCACGGGTGACATATCCCAGCTTGAAAACATTAGTACCCGCCAGAAGGGCACTGGCAACCCAACGACCCAACTTGAAGGCGTTGTTGTGCACCTATACATGATGACGCCAAACTTCAAGCTGTAGTGGTAACTTAGTAAACTCAGCAGCGTAGTGTATTCATAAAATACAATCATAATACAGTCAGTGCCGATCTGCACCTATTCCGGGATTAATATCAGTACAACTTGTCGCTATCATCACCTCCGAAGGTTACTCATATCACACCACAGCACTGTCACCAAATATGCAATATATTTCCAGATCGATTCTCATCAATCTTCGAGGATAAACACACATTTTTCCACATAAAATTGAGCCGCACTGTACAGTGTAGCTAAGCCCAAAAAATTACATGCTATACAATGAACTTTCACCCTAGTGATATGAATAACACTAGTGAGAAACATATTTCACGACCACTGCTTTTCATCGCAAATATGGCGTTTTTCACCGAGTCGCGTATAACGGTTGAAACTTCTTCACATACCATCTATTCGCATAATTTCCTCACTGGTCAATGCGGCATTCAGGATGCCACATATTCTTGTTATGCCACTCAAGAGGAGAGTTCATAGACATGGTACTCAACAGATGAATAGGAAGGCCACGTCTCAAATCCATACATTTCATGTTGGAGTCGTCTCGTCTCCAGCACAGCGGAGCGAAGTGTTTCACGATGTGCATTAATTATATATTCACCTAATCTAGCTTTTATAGGTATATCATCTATATCTGATAAACATTGTTAAACTTCCAGCCCGAGACACTACTTAGCGTAAAACACTAAATTTTCCAATTTACTTATGCTTCTTATACCCCCCATGAATAGCATACCTCAGTCGCAAGGACCGCTCCCTTCTGGGATTCCAACGACGACCTCCAAGGTTGCTTCTGCTGCTGAGTCGAGGGAATCCTATAAGAGATTCATTCGATGACAACACCCGCTTCAGTAACCTACTCGTTGAGCGCACGTATCTTGGCATAGACAGGCTGCTGCTCCTGCTGCTGCCCTTCACCTTGGGGTACATAGGCGTCCACCTCAGTCCGTACGATCATCGATATGTTACAACTCTTACTCTCCTCGGGCACACGAGGAAGGTCAACCTTACGGTACCTGGCAAGATCGGGAAAAGTCGCATGCGAGTATTCTATCATCAATCTTGACGATAACAATGGAGTTTCACCCCCTAGTGATATGAAAAACACTAGTGAAAAACATATTTCACGGCTACTGCATAGCGGGAATATCGCGTTTTTCACCGAGTTTTACGCCACTTCGCGTAAAACGGGTCGTGAAACTCCAATGATGAATTTTTCAAGGGAACTCGATCGAACTTAGAGCCCCTATTGCTCGCAAGTCTCGAAACTGAATCCTCCTGTACGCCCTGCACGCCGTTTCATGTCAGCACATATCAGCACAGAGTTAGAGGAATATATATGTTCGCTTCCCTCAGCTGAGTCCATGAGTTTCGTTGTTAACTATAATACTCACACATAAACTCAAAAAGGAGTGTACAAAAGCCACTCAAAATTTCCACAAATGTCACCTACACATACAGTTGACCATGTGCATATTTTCCCACACCTCATAATGTCACCCAAATATACACTAGGCTTACCTGTACGCTACGTTGCTGGGCGGTAGAAGCTCCTCCTTCTCCTCTTCTTCCTCCTCCTCATCCTCATCGTCTTCTCTCTGGTCGAAGGGGTTCGGATACTCGTTGCTCTTCTCGGGCAGGGACGATGAGAGAAGCTGAAAATGATATAATACTTAATAAAACAAAAACAAATATAAACAAAAACATATAAACAAAATATATAAACAAATATAATATTTTTTTATACTTTAAAAATCTAAGATCAGCTCACTACCCAGTAACACGAATCCCTCACTGACCTGCACAGTTAGGTTCTGGTTGATGCATGTGGCCTCCTCCCCAACCTTGTACACAGTGTTAAACGCCTCTGTTTTCGTCCCCTCAGCGCTCTCGTCAGGATGAGTCGCCGGAGGTTCGCTACCTGAAAGATACAAATGAGGTCCACTTACATACCACAAGCAGAACTCACTAGTCTCATTGACAGTGAGCATGTCAAGATTGGACCCCTCCCGAGTGTCGATAAGGATGGTATTATCCAGTCGAGTAATGACTAAATCCCAGGAGTACACAGATCTGTTAGCGGCCATCATCACGGAGAGAACCTGAGATCAGTTCACCTCTTTATCGGTGTGGGGGGAAATATGCACATGGTCAACCACATGTGTGGTCGACAATATGAAAATTTTGTAGAATTTTACGGGAAGTTTTGAGGTATCAGTATTTGTTTTTGGAAACTCCTGAGCTCAGTTGAGGAAAACGAACATAAATTCCATCACTAATTGAAACTATTCATATTTCATACCCGATTTCATTATCGATACCATCATTCTGTCACATCATCCCTAATACTGTAATACTCTCCTAAAAGTGCTTATAATAATGACATCAACGACATACATTCATATGGTCTTCTAATAAACTTTAACCTCATTTACATATTATTATAACTCCTAAGCAGAGAAAACTATACCCACTATAGAAAGATTACGGGCTACACATTTTTTCCTACTAGGATTTTTTGTGGTATTAGTTCAAGTCATATATTTTTTTTCATACCGTGGGCGAAATTCCGATAAATATTTACGAGAAGTTCAACCATATTTTTATCAACTTGTTAAAAAAATTATCATTATTCCCAAGTGGAGGAAAACTTCACCCAATATAGAACAACAAATATGAGTTATATATTTTTCCTACTAAAATTTATTACGTTATCAGTGCAAGCAACCGTGACGTCCTGTCCCTTCGCCACAGGCTGGTTGGTCAACAACTGCTCAATGACCGGATCTTGACCCGTACTGACGTTATAGAAAGCAATATCGGGGTACTGCTTCAATGACTTGGTAACTATAGGAAAACACGAATGCGACCAACTACTACTCTTGGGTGTACATACGCTTGGGAGACACCCTGTCGTAGGTCTTTTCATAAGCCTTCAGCCCAGTGCCACACCACACAAGGTCCTCATAGGCAACCTTCTTAGGATCAACATGCGCCTTAGCCAGAAGGGTGAATGGCAATTCTCGGACGAGCTGCAACGATGATGATGATGAGTAATACCAGATGATCGAGTGAGGGCCCACCTGCCAGTCGGGATTGGGCGCAACGCTCCACTCTTTAATGCCCCTGGCGACGCCTTGGCCTCGTCCCCAACCTTGTTGGTAGGCACTCTGCTGCTGATGACGACGACCACCAGCAGCAGGACCCCAGGACTTCCCGCCGCCGCCCTTCTGATACCGTCCATCGCGCTGATGCTGCTGTTGGTAGCGGTTATTGCGGTGGTCTTGCCACCGGGGCTGGCTGTACCTTTTTGATAGAAAAACCGTAAAATAGCCGAAGAGGGTCGGAAGGGGCTGTACTTATTCACATGATGCTTCCGTGGGGCTGAGGAGGTATCGACCAGCTGGAAGCCCTTGTCCTTCTCATCCTCGCTGGGAGTGGCACTGACCCGACCTCGATTGTGGCCCTGGGCGGCCTGCATGTCTCGGATGCGCTTTCCTTGTTGGGAAAAGTCACATACTCGAACATTGCGGTAACCATCGACCAGAGAGATGAGATCACCTGAGGGTCAGAGGTGGGCCTATTCTGTATCTTCCCCGCTCAACCACAAGATACCCCTTCCTACCAGGGATTCCACTGACGGAGGTTGAACCACCAATTTGATGAGGGCCCCATTCCTCTGAGTCTGCTGCCGGGAGTATGAGAGGCTCGAAGATTGATACGTGAGGGGAAGCCATGCTACGTCCAACTGTCCCATCGTTCCCTTACGTTCTGTAGCTACCCAATCAAGGCGCCGACCAGCTACTACCTAAACCCGACACGCACGCTGTCCCCATAATATCCTATTTGAACTAATACCGTAACACTGTATTATCGTAACGTAGTAGGACCTGGATGAGAAATCGACATTTACTCCTTGATCGACTCTGGCTTCCGCTATTCCACGACAAACCAAAATTTTGGCGGAGCGAAGCGTTTCATGTTCCTCAGTTTTGTTTTCTGGGCAATCAGTTGAGCGACCGCTTCGTTCATTACATTTTCCGGATGGGTTACTGAATAACCGAAAAATTGTCGAACGTGGTGTGGTGGTACGTTGCTCGGTGTCATGTTGGAGACCCAGGTTCAATTCTGGGCGAAGCTATTGCTATAACGCGTACGAAAGATCGAATTTGTCGACTACTGTTCCTGTATTCCGTTACTATCAGCGTGAGTCTTAGGAATGTTCATCAGGTGGCAACCGGCATCGTCCACTGGTCTTACCGAAACCCCTTCCAAACTGTATCTTACAATAGTCGTACACCTGCTTACTACTATAACCTATTCTCGAGCCATCTTGTCGAATCTAACTAGCACTTTATTTTAGTGCAGTACTCCCTGAATCGCTATTAGTTGTGCATTCATTGAAATGGTAAAGTGATGCACCCGAGCTGAAAATCTGACGAGGCTGTTGAGTTACCCTCCCACTAGCGTTATGGCGCTCTCGAAACGCGTACGCCGTATTTGGTCGGCAGTTCTGACGACCTTAGAATGACCATAAGCTTTCAGTGATTCGGAGAGAAAATGTTTGCTCCTCAATGAACTGGATTCGTGAACACTGATCGATGAGTCAGTACTGAGTCGGAGGCTCAGCTTGGCACTTACACGTGTGATGGAGGCATCGTATCGGTGATTCCCGATAGTATCAGGCTGATACGATCTTCCTCTTTGCGAAGAGGAATCTGATAGTTGTTAGGCATGATAGGCGATAACATCTTCAACTTGATGAAGACTCCGACACTTGCTGTTGAATGTGAACGAAAGATGGTATGCGATCGTCGCCAGCACGCCGAGGCCCACTTCAAAGATTTTCATCGGCTCGCGAATCGTATCCAAGTATGATAGTACTTTTCCCAATCAACTAGTGCTTTCTTCTAGCTCTTGGGACCGAGACTTCTCACTCGAGACCGCAAGTGACCCTATTGTTCTTTGTAAACGAATTCAGATGGGCATTTGCATGTGCTTGCCGTATCTCAACAGAAGCAGTCCGCGATAAACGCGGTACGCGAAAACGGAAATTCGTAGTGCAAATGCGGCAGGAAAAGGCTCGTTCGAGAGGTCCATCGTGGACCTCAAGCTCAGCTCTATAAACCGTGTTGCTTAATGTTCGTTATTTCCTCCGCAGCGCTTCTGAATTTTTGAACCATGCCTGAGGGGAAGAACATCGTTTCCGATATGGACGAGAACTGCGAAATGAGGACTGATGCCGTAGCAGAAGAGTATGCACGTCGCTATCGATCAACTGTAATTTTAAGGTGACACAAGCCTCGATTGCTATACAAAAGTACAAGACTGAGAGCGAAATGGCGAAGCACATCAAGGCATTCTTCGATGGGAAGTATGATCCGAATTGGATGTGCGTCGTTGGTGAGCTCAGAGACAACCTACACCCGCGTTTGTAGTCAGTGTATCGCTGGCAGGTAAGGACTTTGCCAGCTTCGGTACGTACGAGACGAAGACTTATCTCTTCTTTTACATCGGACAGATTGCTGTAAGGATCGACTTAGTCATTCTTTCTGCTTCCTGTGTTGCAACTTGTGCAGTACAAGGAATTAGCTCCTCCTCATATATCAGTAACGGTAGAGGCTGTGACTGGTTCACTCTACCATATGCTGGATTAATGACACTCATGCCTTCATCTATATACACGTGTATATCTATCAAAGTGATGAAGTGGTTGTCTATATATTAATTGATTCATTTATCTATATATTAATCTATATATAAATCTATATATTTGTCTATATAATCATCTATACATTTGTCTGTATTTCTGTCTGCATATTGGTCTATATTATCTCTACTGATTACGCGAAACAATGATTTTCCGAATTTGCCTAAGAAAAAGGACGCTCCTAAGTTAGCAAATGGAGAACTCTGTTTGTAGGTACTCCTCTATAGGATGTTCTAGCCGCGAGCACTGCATGACTCTTGTGTTCTCGTCACACTTGTTGGCTATCACGCTTCTGGTTGCGTTGAAGCAGTGTTGTTGTTAATACATCCGCATAATCGTTGAACTGACCATAGCTAAAGCCTAATGCCTCATATCAAGAACCGCAAGGAAAGACGCCGATCTACTTCCCTGAAAAGATTGCGAGGCGTTAAAAATGCAAAATCGAAAAACAAAAACTGGTCAGAGATACCCCAGAATGAAGATCGACTCGTTTCCACTGATGCTCCTAAAGGGAGCTCACTTGAGGGAGGCGATAAACCATTGCGACCATCCCAGAGAAGACAAAGTGAGGCCTGCATGTTGTGATCTAAAGATGTCCCTGATAGAGGCAAGATTGAATTCTGATGAAATTATTGAAAAATATCTCAACCAATGGGAAAATATGCATATGGTCAACTACATGTATTGCTGACGATATGTAACTTCTGGGAGGAAATTAATGAGTTTTCTTGTTGGTTTATGAGTACTCCTATGTGAATTCCGGTGTAAACTTGTATAATTAGCGAGGAAACTGCTGAGCTCAGCTGAGCAAAGCGAACATATGTTCCGACACTGACCTCACCGGAAGCAACAGTTATCATTCACGACAGGTGAAGTCAGTGTTGGAAAATCTGTCCGCTCTCCTCAGCTGAGCTCGGGAGTTTCCTTTCTAATTATCCAAGTTTGCATAAGAAGTCGGATAAAAGTTTACAGAAACCAACAAGAATCTCCAAAATTTCCTCAGAATTTTCATAGTGTCACCAGCGCATGTAGTTGAAAACGGGCATATTTCCCCACACCGCGTGAAGTGAATCGCGATAGGTGAACCGCCACCAGGAGGCACCCGCAAGACGTCCGAGAATCGATCGTCATTCGTTGCTATAACCGAGTGGCCCGAACACTTGAAGCCTTTACCACTGTAAGGGGGCCGACCCTATCACCCCTATGAGCTACTGTGCATAGGACAGGTATCCTAGCAGAAAGTTCGAGATGGAAACACCTTACTGTGGGCTAGGAACGGATATACTGAGCGGGTCTAGTAACCCATCGACAGCAATCATGGCACTTGATCTTCCTACTAACAATGACGAATGTATGAAATACTGTGGATCTGTAGACCAACAAATCGCGGCTCCCTTCCAAGAGTTACATCGCCGTTTGCTGTGAACGAATTGAAGTTAAATATCCCAAAATCTACTGCGACTGTATCTAGAACATTGTAGAATTTCAGCCGTGACACTGGCGAAGTCCTGAGACTCTATTCACTCCACAGTGCTATCAAAAAGCCTAGGCTAGTTATGCATTCGGGCAAGGAGCCTGTTTAGATATGGAGTACCCATTACAGCTACAGAAGCCCCGGACCGCCGTACAGCCCTTGACTGTAGCGCAGCTTACTGATCCCCATGCTAACTGTATAATACACGACAGAGACTTGTTACGAGGGACCTGCGTAGCTACTTGTGATCACCATTTTAGAACAGTCGATGCATTCACAGGTCTACAATAGGAAGCGGGAGCCCGTTGATCTTCAGCATCTGGTTGATCAAGCCCTCAACGATAGAGATGTCGTTGTTGCAGGCCGATTTGGTACTGGCAGACTGCGCAAAGGAACGTGCCCACGAACGCCAATGTACGTTATTGGTGTCTCTCCCCGATGTAATTACTCTTCTGGAGAAGTTGATCTCCACAGAAAATCAACTGTTTGCTACCGACGATCGTTTTGCTCTCGATTGTGGGTTGAAAATCAGACCAGTGACGATAAGCCTTATGTCGTCCGTTATGGGGTGCTGAACTAAATTGAACAATTGGCACTTGATCACTAGGAGGCTTTGCACTGTGATTGAGGCATACTAGACCATTCATCATAGGTACAGTCCGATAGGTCCCGAGAATGACATTCTTGTTTTCGAGAGTCGGTTCGAATCGGGGAATCTCCAAACCGCGGTCAAAGTTGGCGACTGGGAGTGAACGAGCGCGAACACCACAGAGTTGAAGTATTCTGGCCGCAGATACGACCTCGTTGTATGTCCGGATACGAACACCTATGGCAACACCCAATGGTTCTTCTTCAGTGTTGAGAATTTGTCTAGGGGTAGCAGCATCAAGCTGAACCTGGTGAGATCTCGCTTCCAAAAAGCTACTCCTCCTGATTGTGATCTTCGGCACAGTTTATAGCCAGCGACGTTATACGAGAGATAAGTGATGATCAATACTTTACAAAATCTCGTAGAGTATTAATTACTCCTTTCTCATAAGAGCGATGAGAGTTGCTCTTCAAAGCAAATCTCGCTAGAAACAGCCGTGATAGTTAAGTTGTTCATAAGTCCACTGGAGTGGTTCGAGTGTGACCAGTGAGCGAGACGCGTCAGGTTACGATGGGGAAGCCGTCGTCGCTATTCCAAAAAGGCATGCAACCCGTAGTCTGGTCGAAACAAGAGTGACCTCCCTATCCGGATGTCTATTCCTGAGAATCGCAACTCAGATTCCATCAAGGGAACGGCATTGGGTGGGTGAGGGGCGCGGGAATCTCTAATGTCGAATACGGCAAGACGAATACTGACAAGCACCTTCTAACGAGGTCAGCTGCAGCTCACTGCCTATCCAAGCTTTGAATAAGGAAGATTTCAGGGTTGCTGCCGCTCTAGAAGTTGGAGACTTTTGCGAGGGCGTCGCTGCTATCGAGATAGCTTGTAAGCGCATCAATCGTCTTCGAGTGCGATCAAAGTGAAAAAAAAGAAATTATACTACTGCCATTCGGACCGATAACAGAGGATCTCTGTCGCTTAATAAAGAAAAAGAAAATATTCGTGTGAGTGTGATTTTCCTAGAACTCTAGCATGGTGAAACCCGCTTGGGATGGGTTGGATATACATGCAGTAAGAAATACGGAACTGCTGTTCTGTCAGGCCAGGCAGCATCCTTTGTAGAGGCTAGTGTGCTGACCTTTGAATATACTCCTCATTGGGATGATGACACTGTTTATTTCGCCTATACTTTCCCCTATACTCTCTCAAGACTGCAGAACTTCATCAAGGGCATGGAAAGCAGCCGCGGAGGCCAAAAGTGACTCGCAGAGTAAACTCGAGGGTTCACCCTGAGTGGTAGATATCTATCACGATACCCCTTGTGCCGCACTCTTGCTGGCAACAGACTTGATATGCTCACTATCACAAGGTCGAGGGAAGAGAGTGACCCTGGGTTGGACGATGAGACAATGGATGAGGAAGACGACCATCTGGTTCTTCATGAGACCAGAAAGCAATACATTGTCATCACAGCCAGAGTGAGCGACACGTACTCATCGAGTTGCTCCACACGAATGCAAATTCTTAATGCCTGTCTTCATATAGAGAAAAAACGACTACATGATTGAACTATGTAGTCGTTTTTTTCCTCTAAAAGTTCATGACGATTCTACTAGGTACATCCAGGGGAGTCTGTCTCCTCCTATGCCTGTGAAGGTCTGATAAGGGAACTCCTATCAGACTCTGACCTAGCGCGGAAGCTCAGAGCTAAATACATCTTCAAAATTGTATCAAGTCCCGCTATCTGGCCAAGGCCTGAGGCGCTCGTTGTAGGTGCCTATGCTGAATCCAGACGGTGTTGTCCTTGGGAACTATCGCTCTAATCTCAGTGGCCGAGATCTCAATCGTGTTTGGAATCAGCCATGCAAGTTCCTGCATCCCACAATGTGAAAATCAGCTGTTCCTTTGCAACAGTCCGAGCTGGCTGGTACACTTCTCAGATACTTCACGAAAAAGGCTCTGAGCCGGTATACACCGCTAGCACTATTTGCCGACCTTCATGGCCACTCCAGGAAGCTTAATTGGTTCATATATGGATGCTTACCTCCTAGGAACCCCCGGATGCGAGCAAACATTCCGCCTTTCATTCCACCCCCGAGCATGAGAACTCGAGATGCTGTGATAACCCCTTTGATGGAGAGCTCGGAAAACTACGTGCTTAGGTGCTCTTGCCACTGCTGTTGTCTCGGCTGTCGCCAACCTTCAGTGCCAAGAATTGCTACTTCCAAATGCAGCCTCAGAAAGAGTCAACGGCGAGGATCACGATGTGAACAACTTAGTTGATCCGAAGTAGCTCGATACTGTGCTCAGCAGTTACAAGGAGTTCACTCTGCCGAAGTGCTTGACGGTTGAAATTTCCTTCTGTGGGTGCGAGGAGAAACAGTTCACTATCAAAGACTATCTTCATATTGGCCATGAAATTGCAGAGGCATTCGGCGAAATGACGTGAGGTCTTTCATCGAAATCGTTATTATTTCCACATTATTCAGGGATGCCTCTGTGGAGCTACCAGAAGACCTCTCTGAGGAGGTCATCAAGAGGTTCATCAAACAAGCCGAAAAGGCTGCTGCCAATGACGCTGGTATACTAGCGAGAGACCATTGGAGGTTTTATCGCGTTCCCATCTCAGGAAGCGACTCTGATCCCGAGGCTGATCTGAAGCCCCCCTCGCGTAAAGTCGTTGTTAAACGGCGTCGTACAGTGGTTAAAGAGACGAAGAGGAAGTCGGGCCGACGTGATTCGAAAGCGAAGAATAAAAATGACGATTCAGAATTATCGGGTACGTCAATCGAGTTGTGCGTGGCAGTAGCTTGCCTCAGACAAAGCTCCGAAGAGTGTTCCGAGGTCGAGGTCACAACGTATCATACGACCTCGTATGGAAATCTATGAGCAATCTCTTGGTGAGTTTCGATATGAAGTGAAGCGATCTTTTGCATCAGAAGACGAGTCGTCCAAGAAGCAAATTTCGCATCGTGTCTTGCCACGGAATTGCTTTTTTGGCAATGAACCCTCTAGGGTCTCCCAAGGTGTCATAATGTAGGCCACATGTGCATCTGCCGATCTGTGTCCCATTAGGCGTCTTGGGCGGAGTCCCGGCGCTTTCTATGACTAATGTACCACTTCGTCAGCGCAACTCTGATTTCTATGAAGGACGCCCTGCTGGCCACCGATCCGATCGAGCGCTGATGTTCGCGCAAGCTCCGAAATTGGTTTTTCTTTCGGTGGGATACAACCGCATTGAGTACCCCAACTGTATCGGCGTCTTGCCCAGGGCCAAACGTATGTGGTACACAGTCGAACGCCCGGCGTCCCAGGAGGAGAGCTCGTCCTGTTTCCGTCTGAGACCACACCAGACCTCAGGTGGCTATATGTCAGCCGCGATGCTCCATGAGTGGTTATCAGATACGGCAGTTTCGATGGTATGAGAACACGATCGAATGGTCTCCCTCCTGCTCAGCAAATGGTCAACGGATTCCCTAGTATCAACATGAAGACTCGAAAGGATAGGACGGTATAGTCAGTTTTGGATTGTACTTCCTATCAAGCTACTCAGTATACCCATCAAGATGATGATGGCGCTCTGGACCCCATACCGACGGAGCAAGAATACTTAGTCCGGCGATCTCGCAACTACGGCCCGCCGGGCCTGTTAGCTCCTCCGACATCTCCAGTTAACAGATGACTACGTGCCTCTTACATGCATGGTGCACTGTGACATACACTTTCGCTTGTAATTGACTCGCGTTCCTCAGTGAATATAGAAGTGTGGTTCCCATGATACGCAACGCGACGGACACGATTAACTTAGTAGCAGATGCCTGGGTATCTCGGAACTTGCATGAAGGGTATCAGTAGCCCCCTGGGTGTGATCCTCGTCATTGCTGGCAGTAGCAATTCGAAATTCGCTTTCCTAAAAAGCCTAGGGCCACATGCTTGGCGCCCGGCGTGGGAGTATGACCACAGAGTTACACGCAACTAACTGTGCTCGACTAAGACTCGACTAGAGACTGGGTTTCAGGAAGGGATTTCAATACCCTATTGGAACTTTGGTCGAGTAGTATCTTCTACATATTCGAATACCACCATCTCTTCAGCGAATGAGAGTCTCCACCGCTACTATACACGTACCTTCGTACGCATGTGCACGATAGTTCGCAGACTTGCTCAGTTCTATACTCTGTTTTCTTACCTCGTAGAACATGTCCATGTTCGCCCTATCCAGATTAAGCTCGCGTGTTGATGACAACCGTGGGTGATTACGTCCGAACAGGAGGTCACAGAATGCCACTTGAGGAATTAAATTTACGCCTGACTTGAATCTCATGTCGTTGGCAACTTCACGAGGACTTGTTCTTTATAAATCAAGATCTCATTCACCATCATTGTTGATGTTAGATTTGCACATGACTTCAACTCTCTCAAGTCGATAGAAGCTTCTTGAGGATAAGCTTAGTTTTAACTTGGAACCCGTCATTATTAATGTTAGATTTCTCATCCTTGCGACTGAGGGACTTGCGAAATGATCTCATTAGTCTCTCAAGTTCCTGAAGTGAGGCTTCTACCTTAAAAACCGTCGTTCTTGAGGAGTTTGTGTAGGAGGCTCATTGGCTCAGTGAGGTACACCCATGTACTGTAGATAACAACCATATCCTGAAACGGCCGGATGTGCGCAAGTTCGATACCGGAAATGGATACTTCTCTCGTATTTTTACACAACAACATGTCTGAACTATGCATGACCCTTATAGTCCACGAGGGACCATAGCTCTCTCAACTGATAGAGCGATAGACTTGGGGTTACCTCTGGTCTCGGAGGAGGGCCAATTCGAAAGCGAAACCACTATCCGTGATGGGGACAGTGGATCGATCTCATTGTGTGCGTAACCAATGGTTACGCAGTGCGTAACCTTGTGCGTAATACGCACACAATCACAGTTCATGGTTACTAACCATGAACTGGTGATGGGCATATTTCTGTGCCTAGTTGTTCTCCTATGGGGTTTATTATCAAATTCATAATATGAAAAGCACTATATATGGCACTATCACATAATTGTGTCGGCGGAACGAAGTGGAGGGATGAGTATCATCACAATAGTAAATAAATTCAGCACGAGTATATTCGAGTCAATACGGAGTATTGACTTCTCTACCTCAGCAGCCTAATAACAGTCCTCTCCCTCAGCAGCCTGTTAATGCTCTCCTAAGCGATGGTCATGTTGGAGATAATGGAGAGGGCGGAGCGGAGGTGAGCAAGACGAGCATTAAAGAACATTGCCTCTCGCTACAGCAATCATATATTAAACCTCAACTCAAGTATGCAGTTTTGATAACTCAACCCTGAATAATTGTGGACCATTCTCTCAAATTCGGAGACTCGTATACGTTGCACTTGCAGCGATCAATACCTCGATGTTCTTCAGATACGCGTCGGAGCAACAATACCACAGGACTCTTTCTCGACAACCAACAGGGGAGTTAAGAACGTTTGGCTAGAAGATCGTCAATGGCGTCTTGTGAAGATCCTGCAGCAAGACAAAGAGAGATAGAGATGTTGCGGCTGCAGTGCGTCTCTCACTCTCAGAATTGTTGACAATGCTTGTACAATTCTTCGAATCACTTCACCCCATCCTGACAACTGCTCGACCCCTCCGGATTTGGCTCACCGCGAGCAAACCCTTCTGAGACGACGAGTGCAGTATCAGGCTGCAGGAGGTCCAGTCGGCGCCGATGCTGTAAGGGAGATAATAGCTGATCGCGGTAATGTCTACACGAACACTCGTGTCACGAGTGTCAGCGGAATTTGGCGACTGCTGCCTATGGAGCAACGAACAACTCCTCCTCTGCGAATGCCCTCCGTGCCTTCGACATCGATCGTGCTGGGTACTATGAGGACTTTGTCTCTAGAGTTGAGCAGCTTGCTGGGACGTGCAGAGGTAGCGATGATCGATTTTTATTGTATAGTAACAACACTCGCCCCATGCTGATTTTCGCTGCCGATCGCAATATTACAGCTTTGAATCGGGCCTCGGGGATGATCTGGGATGCTACTTTCACAATTGCGCCGAAGGGATGGTCCCAATTATGGACTGGCATTGCTGAAATTGACGGCCATTATATTCCGGTGTACTATGTGCTCATGGCGAGCAAGAGCCAGGAAGACTGCGAGTTTGCACTGCTCCAAACTCGAACGGATCTCGCACAGAGGCAGCTATTTCATTTAGTATCCTCGTTCTACTATATAACTGATTACGAAGTTGCGATGCGAAAGGCTCTGCAGAATGTTTGGGAGATAGAGCCAAATGAGATTCAAGGCTGTTACTGGCACTTGTGCAGGTCGTGGGTCCGCAAGATTGCTGAGACTATGGCTCAAGAATATAGGGCACCGGAGAGGGTTAGGTCCGACAAGAGCAAGTGGTTGCATCGATTGTGTGGATTGCCTTGCATCACAGTCAGCGAGTGCTCACATGGAGTTCCGTGACGGCAGGGATTCCAGCGTACTCTCGAAGTCTCGAGCCCAGACGAGATGGTCATTATCAAGCCTATCATCGAGGGGCTTTGAATATCGACTCGTATTTGGAGCGGGTAGCGCAGTTGAGCGGCGTATCGGCACGGGATGTTTAGCGGGTGGTTCGTCTTGAAGTCTTCATACTTCTTTTAACTAATATAATTGTCTGAGACAACTTGTCTCCCATAATCTACCTATGAGTATTCTTAAATTAAGAATCTTAATAGTTGAGTTTCCTCAGTACCAATGGACCAGTGGGGAACCCATCAAATATATGGAACTTCCATGTTGGAAGTACATGGACGAGTAGCTTCTTCATATTTTCCATATACGAGCATGTCCTTGAGTGCTTGAATGGAGGTCGCACCAGTGACACCATCATTTCAATTTGAGACTGCGTTACAATATCCGCACCGCGCAGATCACACAATCTCTACATATGTGCACGCGTATTTTGTGTATGCGTGCCAAGATACGTATTACTCATTCAATGTAGTTCAGCTAAACAGCCACCGACCTGTTACATGCGCATTTCACCACTAACCAGATGAGTTCACTCCACAGTGTACATTCCGAATAAGCATGGGATCTATACCCATCGTGTCCGGGGAATGTGCGAATGGAGCGCACCCATGTGAAAACTTGTTCACGTCACACGTTCCTCGGTCTGGGCGAGGACCGAGACAGCCAGTGGCCATCGGCCACATTGTGCGGCCCATATAGAACTTTCGGGGCATTGCCACTCACGAAATCCTTCGTTTTTGATCAGGACATGAAACGAATGCTAGTCTGATACTTACAATTAGTCAGTAGCTGCAAACATGATGGACAAACAGTATCGACCACAACGGGAATTCAGTGCTTGTCGAATACCGCCTCGGTCTTCAATCCCACACTCGAATAGCTTCCACTTGCTTGATTACCAGCCAATCTGTGTCTACCACTATACATACAAAGACAATACACACGCTCTACAATAGCTATCATCTGTATCCGTCTTGAAGAGTACGAGAGTTTTGTCTCATGTAGAAAAACCTTGCCAATTTATCCTCATCAGAAACTGTGAATATAAGACCCGCCCACGTCCTACGCCACCCAGCTCATTTCGCTTGATAGCCATCCCGTGGGGAGAAAATTTATGTAACGCACTATGGCGCGCTAACGCAAGTCATTATTATTCTCATTGACAGACATCGCGCTACTGTGGGCGAGCGCTACTTCATCTGCACTGACAGCAGCATCAGCAATGATGAGGCTCTTGCCACATTTCAGCAACCTATCAATGATGCCCAAATGTATTCAACACACCAGACACTAACTTTTCAGCAAGTCACTGATGTTGCCCATTTAGAAAAATCTTATAGAACACTTGCATTTGAGCATCACAATGAGGATGCTCAAAATGCCAAGCAACGAATTCTGCCTTTCAGCAACTTATCAGCAGCATTGCTCAATTCGAACAAGATAAGTTGCGGGAATGATGATTAAGTGCTGAAATGTATTCGCTTTGACATGTATAATACTGCTGAAACGTCGCTCCATTGTTTTTTGAGCATCGTTGCACTGCATATCACCGTGAATTTCGCGATTTTCACCTAGTTTTACGCGACTTCACGTTAAATGGGTTATGAAACTCCAATGATTCATATAATACCATATAAATTACTTCGTTACGCTGTAGTGTCACCAGTGATATGACAAATACTAGTAGAAAACACACAAATCTCTTCATAGCGCGAAGACTTTTCCGCAGGGCATTACATCGCTGCACATAAAACGGGTGGAACTCCATCAACGTCGGGTTTCTGTGAATAGCTGTGCTTCGAGTGAAGTCCCCTCAATAGACGATTCTCAGTAGAGTTTTATAACGAGGTCATGGACTATTACAGAGGTATAGCCCTACGGGAAGAGGTCACTCCTTCTACCAAGGCCACCTACGTGGCCTCCCGCGAGCATTGGATGCCGACGGGACGACAACTGCAGCAACAGGTCAATCTAAGTCCGACTAAGATGATGCAGGGAAACAGCGTTGGCATGCACAGCCCTTCGACACAGGGCTCTCGATACGTTACTACTAAGAAGGTATAGTAGTGATTGAGATATGAAGGCCGATGGGTATGTTAGGTACCCTTCGGGTCAACTACTACGACTAGTAACGGCTTGCCTCGGGTACATCGATATTCATCTCCACCAGCTCAAGGGATGTAGTTTCCTCAAGGCGACGAGTGAAGGGGATGATGCGTATTAGGTTCGTAAGGAATGGTAGCCCATATACTGGGATCAGCTCGGGGAGGAAGCCAGATGTTACTACAGTAGAGTTGAAGTCAAAACTGAAAACTAGTCTTACTCTGTTAAAGAGTAAAATGAGTGCAACTATACCTGTTAATAACGTACCGAGGTGATGTGGATAATATAAAGGGAATTAGTGGTAGTCTGATGTCTATAGGTTGGAAGAGCGTCATGGTGGTAGCAACACTATGGGTGGGCCGCAGTATGGAAACACTCGTAGGCATTCGGCTCAGCCGAGGTGAGGTCGTTCGAGTTGGGTGTAGTAGAGTGCCAGTTGTATAGGTATAGCGACGATTCGCCGAAGGAGTGGTATCGCCAATTAAGCGGTAGGGCGTCTGCCTCTCCTGAGTCACTCGGCCGTGGTTTAGTGCGACGTCAGCGTCATAGCTCTGGTGATACCGGTACTGTGTGGGGAGAAGCTGTGTACATGGTCAACTACATGTGTCGGTGACAATATTAAAAAATTGTGGAAATCTGGCTATTTCCTGCGCACTCTTATTACCCTAACTCGTATGAAAACTCCTGAGCTCAGCTGAGGAAAGTGGCGAACATATATTCATACTCCAACACTGTGCTGATATGTGATCTGTGGAGTTACTGCTTCGTTTAGGTCCAAGCACGAGTGAATATGGAGAGCGCGTGAATCGTCGTACTACTGAGACTAAGGTGACTATATGAATTTTCACAGCGGAGCGGAGTTCGCATGTTAGCAGGATTCGCCCTTGGTTGTCGATCGTAAGAAGAGTATGCCACGAATTGAAAAAGGTGTGGTAGTGATTGGGGAGGTCGGCGTGGGAGAATATCCTGAGGAGCAGATGAGGATGGTGAAGTGCCAACAATGCGGTCGGGTAGGGTAACAGTCTTGGTTAGTAAAGATGATCGTTACGGTATAGCAGGAAAATATGCATATGGCCAACCACATGTGTTGGTGGCAATATGAATATTCTAAGAAGACTCTTTTTAGTTTTTGTACACTTCTCGTATATGTTCTTCCAATTCGTATATAAACTTCTATGATTAGTGAGGAAACTCCTGCACTCAGCTGAGGAGTGGGAATATATATTCCAACGTTGATAGCAGTTTGGAATATATGTTCAACTGAGCTCAGTAGCTTCTTCGCGAATCATAAGAGTCTATATACAAATACGGGTAGAAGGAAGCAGTAAGAATTTCGTAAATTTCCTCAGAATTTTGGTATTGTCGCTAACACGTGTAGTTGACCATGTGCAAGTGTTCCCTCTTCACAATGCTTTGTAGAGCTTCAATGAGGAGTCTATAGGGAAGCACGAAGGAGTTTGTCGAAAGGTGTTCAAGGAGAAAAGACGCGAGTGAGGATGTTGTTGCTTCGCTCCGCTAAGAATTTTTCGGCTGATAGGTTTGATATTGTGGCTAATCGTTTGCATGGATTTGAGAATAAGGATCAATTGATAAGGAAAGCCATGCAGGAGAAAAGGAGAGGACCTCAGAAGGCCAAGCCGACTAAGTGGAAGCAACAGAGCGAGGCTTTTAGGGTAGGCTTGGGAGGATGTGGGCGAGGAGTGGTATGGCATTTAGGCTGCTATTGCATCGTGTCGATCTACGGACCCTTATGAGAGACAGGTGGCTGCTGCTAAGTTTGCAGAGTTACAAGCTGAGCATGAACGCCAACACATGGTCAAGTGTCCTCACTGTGGACGGACATTTCACGATGAGGCCTCTAAACGACATATTCCTATCTGCCAGAAGACCTTTGCTACGGGTGGAGGCCGCCTTTTGAAAGTATTACATTGGCATTTGTGCAATTGTATGAATTTTGTCATTCAGGGGCGTGGCAGTGTAGCGCACTCTACTGCGGGTCGTCGAGATAGTCGCAGATGACTTGGTTGAATGCCGTTCGGAAACCGACTGTCTTGGAGCGTTTTAAAATTACTATCGTCGTCGTCGTCGTTGTCGTCGTCGTGACCATTGCTTTATCCTGGCTATTCCGAATTGACTCGTATGAGTCTTAGTTGATAGTTTTGTACAGCGTTCATGATCATTGAAGCCCTCTGCAAACGAGTACTATCCTGAGGTAACCTTGTTGTGTATTATCGTTGAGATATCAGCATGCGAGTGGTCATAAGGCACCTCAGCCGCGCATTAGTGTTGAGTTTATAGTGTAGTAGGGATGAAGACTTTTCTCGTGGTGAAATTTTATGAGAGCAAATCGTCGCCTTCGAAATTCTGTGAGGCTTGACAACGAAAACAGTTTAACAATAATAACTAGAAAGAACAATTATAAATATAACTACGATATTGAACTCAACATAGATGATAATACTGGGTCGACAATTCAGAGCTATTCGTTCAATCATAGCAGTCGGTATATCACCAACACAAGGGGAGCCTCTCGCTACTGTGGAGTCGTTGCTGCGAGAAGTGCTGAGGCTCGACGAGAGCATGAGTGATGTAGACCTGTTGAGTATACGGGATATGTTCGATGATAGCAACTCCTTAGAACGCGAGAAGTAACTATACGATGCAACGATGGTGGTTATGACTTCGCTGTGTGTAGGTATGAAGAGTGCCTTGGTGCGGTGTTCGAGATGTTGAGGTTGGAGAAAGCATATCTGTCCAAGATGAGAGAGTGTTGCGAGGAACATGCCTTGCCTAAACCGAAGCATTGGGTAGAGCACGACTGTTGTTGTGAGGGTGGAGTTGGAGTATGATCAGATTCGCATGCATGAGATCATTGACGGTGTGGAAGGGGATATACAGTGGAAGGAAAACCAGTTGCTCGGTACGGGTTCGCGTGGTCAGTTTTGTGCAAGAATTGTAATTTTCTTTGCTATTTGTAGTAGTGAATTTTCTTTCAGATTTGCCCCTTTGCCCGAATGCTGACGACGTTGAGTGCCTTTGGGCGTTGTGGAGCGGCCGACCTTTTTTGGGAGGCCTGTGTAAAAACGTTGATAGCAATTGAGGCTTAAATCGTCGTTGTTGTTGTTGTGTTGGTAGCTTTCTACGGTTGACTGAATGGCGAATTGTTATTCATATTGCCACCAACACATGTCGTTGACCATGTGCATATTCCCCTCCCACACACTGATCTTGATTCGGCGACAAGAGAAGAAAACGGCTCAACTTTGCGATGATATACGCTTACATCAATTCTGATAGCGCGTCGCACTACATCTGTGAAGTCGTATCTCCCCTCCGAGGCCTTCCCATTGCCTTATACTTTACAGGAAATCGGACCAAATCGTGCTGTAGAATTTCGTGGCGCGTGACGGAATCTGCCGTGTCGTCGTCGTCGCCGTTCCGAAGTCTCGTATTAGATAGCACCGTGTAAAGACGACATCAGCCTTTCCTTCTTCTGCCGGTTTTTCCTCAATCGTCAGGATGATGCTATCGGGTATTGATGCCGATATAGTCGCGGATGACGGCGATTAGGAGGAAACATACACGTGTTGTTACAAACGTCGAAAGTGACAGCCAAGTTGTGTTGGTAACAGTGCGAAGGCTCATACCACTCCTTGCCCAACTTTTATCGAACATATCCTCATTGTTTCCTCTTGCTCCAGTGTGTGGGGAAATATGCACATGGTCAACCACATGTGTTGGTGACAATATGAAAATTCTGAGGAAATTTTGGAAGATTCTTGTTGGTTTCTGTACACTTGTCGTATATGTTCACCCAATTCGTACATAAACTCCTATGATTAGTGAGAAAACTATTGAGCTCAGCGGAAGGAAGCGACCATGTATTGCAACACTGTCTTGCTCTATGAAAATCGCGGTTTTGGATCCGGACGCTCTGGGGAGATGGGCATTACTAACGGAATAGAGCTCAGTGTGGAGGGGGAATATGCACGTGGTCAACTACATGTGTTGGTGATAATATAAAACTTCTGAGAGGAAATTTTGGAAGATTCTTGTTGGTTTCTGTACACTTCTACCCGAATTCGTATATAATCTCCTGAGTTCAGTTGAGGAAAGCGGACATAAATTCCAACAACAACTTCAGCTGATGAATATCTGGAGGAGTAGTTGCTCCTTTTTTTAGAGCTCGGATTGCGTGAGTTTCCCTTCTGGGTTACGTATTCGTTTTTGCTCCCTACAGTTAAAGTCTTCATCTGGCAATTGAGTGTGTGTGAGCAACGCTGCCTGCCCGGTGGAGCCCCTGAGTATTTTCCCGAATATTAAAGGTCTTTCGGTCCGTGGTAAGCTGGAGGAAATGAAGCTGTCAGGGCAACCAAATGGTTTCTAATAGAAGCTTACTTATAAATGATCACTGCTACAAATGAAGTTGCAGCTAGACTAAAAGCACGTCAAGGATATCATCATACAACACAACTGATCAACATCATAGAATCATCGATTCTATGTCAGTATTTAGCACAGTTCACGAGTTGCGTCTTTCCTCAAGATGCTGGTTGGCCACAGCTCCTCGTGCTTGGGTATTGCAAGGGCGGCTAGATGCGCCCCACTGGATCTTGAGCATTGAAGTAGTGGACGGAGGGGATTTGAAAAGTTAATTTACAGTCAAGGTTGAACCTTAAAATGTTTCGAAAAATATCGCGGATCTCCAAGAGTATTATGTCGCTATGGATAGGGGGGAAATTAGGCGACTGCTCTTCGAGTGGAGTTCCTCTCGAGAGAGTGCTACTTCAACTTAGAATCTATATCATCTACTTGGGGAAATATGAAGTCTCAATTTTAAACTAGAAGGACTGCTTGTGATCGGTTCGAGCCTCGTATGCATCGTTGTTGAGTTCGTGTTCGGGAAGACGTCTCCTAGTACGAAACGAATGTTATGGAATGCTTATTGCGGCGTATGAAGGCAGTGGATAAGTGCTGATGAGTACCTCCGATGGCCGTCATTTTTTTGAAAAAGTATACGGTAAAATTAATCGTAGTCTGCGTTGGTACGTCGGCAAGAATCCCTCTGAGGAGCTACCACACAAGGTAAACATTGGCTCCATGTGCTCGTGGGGGAGTCCCATTCAGGAATCTCCGAGGGGGTCCGCAATAGAGCGCACCTAGATGTATTATATGAGATTAATATGTAGGGATGCTGATCAAAGGCTGTTACTCGACGGCTTTGCAATATCTGATGAAAAATTCCCCGACTAGGTGCTCAACACTGAGTTGGAATAAATGGTCGTATTCCTCAGCTGAGTCTAGAAGCTTCCTCACTAATTATAGAAGTTTACAAACAAAATCGGGGAGAAGTGTATAGAAACCAATGAAAAAATCCTCAAAATTTCCACAAATGTTATCTACACATTTAGTTGACTACGTGCATATTTTGCCAAACCGATCTACAATAGTGCGGATGTGATTTTCCTCTGTAAAGGTATGATAGGCATGTACCGAAGGATTCCCGTATGGATTGCATTCGAGTCCGATGTGGGTTAACCTGCATGTATTGGATAGTAGTTGTTCAGCGTAAGGTTGCGAAAAGTTGATTCGGAATATCATTCGATAGTTATATATCATTCGTAGGGTCGCGTTCTCCCTCGAGTAGGCGTTGATGATGTTGATGGAAAAAAAAAGAAAAAAAAAGTAAAAATTAAGTAAAGAAGATATAACAGAGAAAACGCGAATGAAGACTACACGTTGTGGTATGCTAGAACGCAACGGAGAAATTTTACTTCAACGCTAGATCGCGCGAACCAAGTTTGATAGTAGTTGTCATTTTTCACTGCTGCTGTTGGGAGGTTACTTACTCAGAATAGCTTATGAATTTGTTCGCAGGAAATCATCTATTTGCTTCGTTCGAGCGAACCATCGACTGCCATTGGGGATAGTATACGTATGTTAAAATTACTTTCTTTTTCGCGCGAGGTGTGGTATCATCCGTGTCATATTAGGCGACATGCAAGACATTGTAATGTCGAGTTCATAACGATACCATCATAAAATATGCAATAGTTTAATTTTGTTGATCACATGTCGGGAATTTTCAGCCTTTGTACGGCACCTGTAAGGGCGCTTTGCGGCCCTCCCGAAGATGTGGTGGCGCAGGAGATCCTCAACTCGAAGTCGAAGTAGGAAAAAGAAAGGGTTGCTCATATGCAAAAATTCCTTAATTTTCTGTTTTTATTTTGTGTGTATAGTGCAAGTGTCCGATTAAATGTTGCGAATTTTTGGTTTCCTCTCGTAGTTGTAGTGGTAATGATGATGATGATGATAGTTGTATTGAATATGAAAATTAATGCTTCTTAGCGATCTCAAACTTGCATTTTCCCACTCCATGCGATCTGATTACCACAGAAATCCTCATGCAGCAGCAGTGGTGAACCCGACATTACCATTGAAGCCGTTGGACTCGCCTCCTACGCCCAGCCTACCGTCGCCTGTGGCTCCTCATAACACTGTAGCGTCTTTTTCCGAAGGTAGGAAAATGAACTATATGTTGTTGGTTGTTGCGGTACATCCCTCAGGTGGAACATTTGATTCAGGTGGTTTGGACCTTCCTCATGGGATTTTGATAGCTCCGAACAAACTGATTTTGGTGAGCTTATTATCATTAGCATGTAGCTGATCATGGTTAATTTAGAAATTTGGATACAGTGGAGTTTCACCCTAGTGATATGAAAAACATATTTCATGAGTAATGCAAGGCGCAAATATCGCGTTTTTCACGGAGTTTTACGCCACTTCACGTAAAACGGGTCATGAAACTCCAATGTAATCGAAAAATGAGCATCGATGTGACATTTTCGATCTCGACGGCGTTTAACTATAGAGTTAGCGGCTCGCTTGAGTGTTATGTGTACGAGAGTGTATTCTTGTCTCAGCCATCTTCAGCCCCAGCATGCACGATGATTCGAGTGAGGCTCGATAAGACGATTCCGAATGATAAGTTTGGTTTTGTGCATCAACCAGTGTTTGGTGGTGAGGAGGAGGAGGAGCTCACTTGCCTCGAGGTGGCATTTACGGTATGGCAAGTTGAGCGTTTAGTGCATGCTGGTAGATCGTCACTATTGTGGAGGGACAGCTGTTGGATAGATGGAATAAAACCCAGGCGGAGGGGACTAGGGTAACGGAAGGCTCTTACATCACTGCGGTAGGTCGTGTTATTGTGGTGACACTAGTAACTGCAGTGTCACCGTCATCATGTTGCACATTATTCTGCTGTTGGTTCTGTGTGTGTGGGTTTAAAGTCCAACACTGACAGTGTGGGAATATGTGTTTGGTCGCCTCAACTGAGCTCGTAAGTTCTCTCAATACATTATAGAGATATACACACGATTTCGAGTAGAAGTATAGGAAAACGAACTGGGAATAATTTCCTATCAGAATTTCCATATTTTCATCAACACATGTAGTTGATCATGTACGTATATATTCTTACAATGAACAGCGACAACACAGTTTAGTTGAACTTGCATCGTTTTATGCCTATCGAATTTCACTTCAAGGAATGTTGCCCACGGGGCGAGTTTCGCAACCCTGATTTCAACGATGGTGTTTTCTTGCTGTTTTCATGATCTCAGGTCAACGGTGTGAAGTTGAATTCGGAAAAGATGAGAGATGAATTGAAGCACGACAGTGTCGATCTGGAGGTCCATGTGCCCGTCCGTTCCTCATGATGATACATACTGCTGTTGTCGTTTAATATTCGTTGTTGAAAGACTCTCGTTGTGTTGTGAGTGGAGAATATTTCATTCTAGGGTGTTGACCTTATTTGCGATGAAGTTCGCTGAGAGATGGTATGGCATTGGAGTGCTAGTGTTGGTTGTATCTAGGCTGATAGCAGCTAGATATGCGATCATTGACGACTGTGATGAGGTTTTCAATTATTGGGAACCTGTACACCTGCTGGTGAGACAAACATGACTTTTCTAGTTGATAAATTATAATACAAAATCTTGATATGTAGTGTAATGGAATTTCATCCGTTTTCCGGGTGAAAACACCAACAAGTACATCTTGGTATAACATATCTCCATAGATTAGCGGAGTTTCACCCGTTTTACGTGAGGTGGTGTAATACTCTGTGAAAAAACTCGATATTCGCGTTACACAGTAGTCGTGGAATATGTTCTTTAGTAGTGTTTTCCATATCACGGACGAAACTCAACTAATTTAATACAAGAAGTAACCAAATCATCGACATTGAAATTTCCAAGTTTTAGTGAATTTAATTATTTCTCGTATACCACCTCGTGACGTGTGTAGGGATATAACAATGGAGTTTCACGACCGTGATATGAAAAACACTAGTGAAAAACATATTTCACGACTACTATAGGAATCCGCGAATATCGCGTTTTTCGCCGAGTTTCACGCCACTTCCCGTAGAACGGGTGAAACTCCAATGTTAAAGGTGCCTGTAAACTGACAGGTTTAATGGTCTTAGGCTTTTGCTAAGCTTTGCAGTTGCCACTGTTTAGATAGCATAGAAGTGAGGTTAAGATAGATACTATATGAAAGTGTTTTTCAAAGAGCAGCACTCCCGCTCGGTTCGCTGTCGGAATATATATTCGCTTTCCTTAGCTGAGCTCAGAAGTTGTTTTCTCACTAGTTAGAGAGGTTTTCACAGGAATTCGAGGAGAACTGTACAGGAGCGAACGAAAATTTTCCGAAGTTTTTATCAATCATGTTATGCATATCTTTCTCCCACACTGAGATGAATCATTGCTCTTCTACTGTTAGTCATACGGTCTACCATCACTACAGACTTGGGAGTACAGCCCAGAGTTCGGCCTGAGATCATACGTCTACACCTACGTGTATGCTACTGTGGCTTGGCTCTTCTCCAGTATCATCCCTGGTGTTACCAAGCCTATGGTCTTCTACGCTGTACGAGCATGTAACGCGTCCTTCTGTGCACTATGCGAGTGAGAAACCTGCAAAATCTGAAATTGTTAAAGTTGATTTCAGATACTTTTTTTCCAAGATGATATCGTCCTTGTGGGGTACTCCTACTGCGGCTATCTACCTCTATCTGAGCGCGGCGCTCCCTGGCTTGTGAGATCTTTCTATTTTGCTGAGGACTTTATGAATTTTCCTATCAGTTTCCAAGCCTCCCCAGCAGTGCTTCCTTCCCAGTTCTTCATGTGTTGTTTCATATTGTCGAATTATCTTCATGGAAAAAAACGTATGTTGATTTTTGACTTATGTTTTCTACTTGAGATGCCTCAGATGATTTCGCGTGCATAATAGTGTCTCTGTTCGGCGCTTTCGCAACAGCATGGCCGTTCGCAAGTGTTGTTTACGTTGTTCTGGTATCTTCCGTCGTGTAAGAGTACTATATGCTAGTGATTCGAGGAACTTCAGGCATTTACGGTTAGATACGAAAGAGGTTTATCCTACACCCTCACGAGAGGCGCCATAGGCTTGCTTATCGTCTGTGGCACCATAGGTGAGCGTGAATGCTCATTGAGGTCTGAATGATCACTACAGTGCTTCAGTTGCTGTGGACTATCACTTCTACGGCAGAGTCGTATTCGCACCGTTGAATATTGCTATGTACAACTTTGGATTTTCTGTCGACAATCTTTCCCAACTATACGGTGTTGAACCCTGGTAAGCAGTAGACACGTATTTTTGCAGTGTGGGGAGATATTTTCACGTAGTGACAATATGGAAATCATTGTAAGGAAATTTTGGAAAATTATTATTGATTCTTGTACATTTCTACCCGTAGTCTATACAACGATCCGTAATTAGTAAGGGAACTCCTGAGGAAAGCGAACATCTATTTTGATCACTGTTCTTGCGTCAGCTCTCGGGTTTTCGGCATCACTCGCATTGCAAGATAAGTTCAATAAGTTTGGCAACAAATTCAGTGATCGATTCTCGCTGTCGTGTGACGCGACATGAAGAACACAACTTCCGTCGTGCATAAGGAAATGCTGTGTTATAGTAGCGTAGCTGTAAATATGATGATATATGTTACGTTTGCATCTTGTCGTTGTGAAACTTCCCTATTGGAATGTGCCCGTTATGAATTTGAAGTACAGTTTTTCGCCAGCCATTTGTATTATAATATCAGGTATTATTACATCTTCAATGGTATTCTCAATTTCAACATCTGTCTGCCTCTAGCCTTTATATCTATTCTATACTTCACTGGTCACAAGCTCGGTTCATGGTTGCCTGTAGGCTTCCCTATGGTCAGGTCTCGTCCACTTTTTCTAGTTTACTACGCCGTGTGATTAGATGCTATGGTTCGGGATAATGTCTAAGTTAGCGCATAAGGAAGAGCGCTTTCTGTACCCTGTAACGTTGACTGTGTTTTCTGCTGATTTCTTAATTTTTATTTTCAGATCTACCCGTGTATTGCGGCATGTTCCGCTGCTGTTTTGGTGAAGACATACCCAACTTATACGTGAGCATTAATATTACTACTAGTTTATTGGAGTTTCATCCGTGATATGGAAAAGACAAGTGAAAAACATATCCCACAAACCACTGCATACCACGAATATCGGGTTTTGCACAGAATATTACGCCACTCTGCGTAAAACGTGTGAAACTCCGTTATTCATATTTAGATATCGCCCTTTATCAATATCATAGGTTATATAGAATAACGATAATCATTGAATGTATAATGATGGAGCTTCACCCGTGATATGAAAAACACTAGTTAAATCATAGTTCACATTTCACTTCACGAAAAACGCATGTGAGCAGTGAATATCGCGAAAAACACGTGATGTGTTCTACGTGATATGGGAGATTTTTCCGGTGTAATTCGCGAAGTGTTTTCAATCATATCGCGAATAACGCTTTTATCACTCAGAGTATTACCCCACTTCACGTCGAACGTGTGGGACTCCAATGTATATAACAAGTACATCTTGATATAATATATATTTATATACAATATTCCATAGATTGACGGAGTTTCACCCGTTTTACGTGAAGTGGCGTAATACTCAGCGATATGCAGTGGTCGTATATATAAATTTCTTCATGGCTTGTATAGATCGGCAAGCAGATTTCGTGCTAGGTCGAAGAAAGCCCCAACGCAAACAACCAAGTTACGGCGATATGCAGTTAAGTCTGCGCTAGCAGTCATCGTCCTTCTGTCGACTAGTCGTATAGCAGCTCTACGGCTCTACTATGGCGCGCCGGCTAAGGTGTGGGAAAAGAGGTGAATAAAAGCATGATATCACGCGTTTCATGTTTCCGTTTAGTTATAATATTATCCAAAGTCGTCCTGAGGCAGTGGTGTGTATGGGAGATGATTGGTATCGCTCTTATTCCCACTTCTTCATGCCACCAGGGGCTAGACTGGAATTCACCAAGTAAGCTGCGTAAGTCACAGTCGGAGTTCATGCTTGGATTTATACGATGATAAATAAATGACAATGAACTGGCCGTACGCAAGTACATAACTATCCAGAAGCGCTCGTCGTCCACTGTTCCACGGGGGTCATCCGAATGAGTGAAAGAATAATATCTTGCAAGCAACGTTGACACCAACTCACGCGAGTGGCTTTTGACGATATTGTGGATCTTATCACAGCTCGAAGAAACGAATAGGATCAGTAGAACCGCTCGCGGTCTGTATTGTTACGACTATGGCAGTAGCTGAGACCAGCCTGGGCTAGGCCTGGGCATCCCACAATCCTCTATATAGTCTCCATGATACTATTCTATATATTGCCCTACAGTAAGTAGTATTATTATGATCAGGGCTGGTTTCCACGGCCAACTGCCGAGACACTATACCTTAACTTCTGAGGTGCACCCACAATTCAATGCCATGAATCAAGAGGAGCCGTCGACCTATCGAGATGAGGCTGTTTGTGGTGAGCACTTCGTGTCAGCTCTCATTCGGTGATTCATAAGCAGATTTCTTCGTCGGCGAGCGAAGTCCTGAGGAGTTTACCAGGAAGATCATCTGCGAACCCATGCTGGACGCAGCTTCCTCACGATCCCCACAGAGAAGCTTGTGGGCTACAGTCGACTTTGGGCTCTCGCCGTTAATGTTCAATATGATATACCATGAACAATCATATTCAAATAATCAAATATCATATTGATATGCAATGAAGGAGTTGGTGGTTATCACTCTGGTCGATGTTGAAATATAATGAAGTTCCACCCGTGATATGAAAAACACTAGTGAAAAATATATATCACGACCACTGCATAGCGCGAATATCGTGTTTTACACTATGTATTATACCACAGTGGTATAATGGTGAAGTGGTATTACCACTTCACGTCAAACGGGTGAAACTGCAATGAACTGGAGCTATCGGTAACTTGTGTTAGGTACATCCCTTTCTACAGCTACAAAGGTGTAGTTTTCAAGGACTTCTGTTTGTGGTCACGAGAAGAAAGTTGAATAGTCTATGTGACACTTACTTTCGAATGGATATTCTCGCGTTGTCAATGAGACTTGTCTACTTGGATTCCATTGGAAATCTTCGTCACGTTGGTTGCCTGTAACCGTGATGTGATGATCTATCCAAAAGTATTCATATCCGCTCACTTTGATCATAACGAGCTTAAATCCTCCATAACAATCCCTGGGATCGCTTTTCCCATTTCTACTGGGATATCTCGGGTTGAGGATGTTATTGTTATGAGAACAGTTATTGTCCTCTGGGAAAAGTGAACGGAAATCGTCGAGTTTATCATCAAAGCCATCGAATGGTGGCATCAGTATCATGACCATTCCACATAAATATGATCGAGAAACCTCAAACGCCGATGGCCCAGGCATCTCAGAATACAGGACGGATGCAAAAACGATGCCTTCGAGTGTTGGGATCAGCGACCTCGACCTCGAACGACTGAGCAATGCCTTGTTAGGCAAGTCCACAGGCGCTGAAGCGAGTGACCGAATACACAGTGAGAGAACTCGTTCGACGCCGTCTTGGAGAGTTCAATGCTTATGCAGGTTCTGATGCCTCTGGTATGGCTCCTGACCACACATTCTCTACCGAGAAGGCGTTCGAGGTGAGTCTATGTGTGTGTGAGATTAAAGTCCAACGCCTACGACACGGCTTAGTTAGACTCGCATCGTTGCACATCAGCTCGTGAAGAATCAGTTTTAGATGTGTCCAGCAATCCAGGCATAGGCGAAATCAGTCACTAACGACTCCGGATCAATCTTCTGTTACTGCTATTTCTATCTGCTAACGCAGTCGAACTTCGATCCCTTACTCGGGTGTTTCTTCCGAGTACGTTAGAACGTTATGTTCACTAAGGGCTAGATCACGAGTAATAAAAAATAACATATACCCCTCACATGTTCTTGGAGTTCTTTCATTGAAGTGTATAACGAGCTCAATCGTTCAGTACTTGACTACGTCACTTGACCATCGTCGAAATGGAACGGGCAATTCGGATGATCCCATCGACAAAGAGATCGAAGAATGCCTCGAGGGACTCGTTCAGAACCGCGAAAGAATGAAGATCAATGTAAAGATGAGTTTAGCCCCGAGTTGAAGTCGCTTGGTTAGGGTAAAGATCATGACCGTCGTCACTCAACGCTGCCGGCTAGTGAAAGCAGCGTAACAGAACTTGAAAGGGAAATAAACGCTGAACGAAAAGAGAAAAAGCAGTAGGCTGAGGTTTTCTCTTCCCTACTATGAATTAGTTAACCCCGTAGACATTCAAAGACAGTCTCAGTTTATCAACCCTTCAGTCTGGTGAAGAAAGTGCGTCACTTGAAAAGAGCGTTGGAAAAACTAAACCGGGAGAACACGCTGTTGTTGGAAAAGTGTGGTATGGCGCCTGTCCCAGATGATGCAGGAGCGTAGGAGAACTCCTGCGATCGAGAGATTACTCATCGAGTTGTCCTTAGGGCTCATCAAAAGTGCCATGAGGCATTGCGGAATGTAACAGAGCGTGCCAACGTGACCATAATACGCATGGCGGAACGCAATGCTGATCTGACTGCGGAAAACGAGTACCTTCGAGGGCGCATATCTGACATGCTTACTGGTAGATCGTATAGTGACGTGACCTTATTGTGAGGGAGTTAACATAAACGGGACATCAGGTTCCCCAATACGACGGACATGTCGTTCTGAAGTCAACCTTCGGCATCATTCATCGCGGCAGGATATTCGCGGGTGTGGTGCATCGAGGAGGTGAATGTGATATCAACGAGTTTTTGGAGCTCTTGTTGCAGACAGCAGCTATTAGAAAGGGACTCACACGACGGGTGGAAGAATCTTGAATACCCTTGGAGGCACTCGGATTCGTCGATGCATACGAGCAACAAGGTGAGTCCTGAGACTTCGATAGGACCTTTGGAGGTTCCTTAGGCGAGGCCGTCGTCGGGTAGCTTATTGAGCACAACTCGTTACTATGGGCGAGCGAGGTCATCTCAGAGAGGTAGCGGTAGTTATTTGACTCCTTCTACGGCACTTAAGGAGCAATCAAGATGGCCAAGGGTATCAGGTAAGCTTCGAGAGCCCGGCTGTACTGATGATACGACACTCCTTCTATGCAGACACTACAAAGCCGGGTCGTCATTCGACAGCTGCTTCTACACCGTTCTCGCGCACAGAAATCCTCGAGAACGAGTACGTGTAACCATTCTGAGTATGACTGTCCAATGAGGTTCCGTGTGCTTGTATCGACCGGTTGATCGGGGGCGGATTTGTTTGTTCTTCAGGCTTCGTTATGCGAATAGGGTCACTAGAAGGGCTCAGGAGATGGCATACGATAAGCTGCGATAGCATGTTCTTCCCGTGCGAAACTTGATGATACGAATGCTTTGTTGGGTTCAGAACAGTTACTCGTTGAAACCCATCCTCAAAACTTTTTGTCTTGTCCTCAAGTTGCCAACCACCCTAAACCCACATCACAATTCCTGATAAACCGATCAGGTCAACTTTTCGTTTATATTCCCGGTGGATACCTCTTAAGAAGATGACTCCTTCCAAGATTCTGTGCAACTAGACCTAGGACAGATAGAATTCAATTTTCATTGTGCAACCTGCAGGCTCAGCTGAATCTCCTCACTCAAGTGTTCCTATTTATGTTACATCCCCGCACAAGCTCGTATGCTAGTCGTGTACGAAACAACAAATCAGCTTAGTCTTTCGACCCGACCACCAATTCCATTCACAAACTGTCACACGCAATACCACATCTAGTGATGAAGCAGAGATACATAGCACTAGAGTATAGTAAAGAAAAATATGAATCATATGAAAGCAAAACAATGCACCGGAAAGAACCTTAACAGTGACTAGTGGGTTGAATCAGCTTAGAAAGCCTTGCCATTGACCTGATGAATGGTAGAGCCGTCCTTGAAGTAGGCAGAAATCTGCTTGATAGCAGTGAGACCTGCGTTGACATTAGACTCGAGAGTCTGAGCACCCATCTTCTTTGGAGTCACAATGAGCTGCTTCTTCAACTGGGCAGCACCGATCTTCTCCCTCAACTCATCAATCTTAGTGAAACCAACATCAGAGATGTATCCGAGATCAGGACGCTTCTGGAAGATCGAGATGACAGAGTCTTCATCAATAACCTCAGATCTGGCGGCATCGACGAGAACGCCATTCTCAGGCATCAACGACATAAGATCCTCGTTGATGGAGTTGATCGTCTGAGGAGTAGCAGGGACATGCAAGGACACGATGTCACACTTGAAGAGCTCCTTCAAGTCGTGGAGAGGCTCGGCACCACACTCCTTGATCTGCTCATCAGACAGGAAGGGATCGTAAGAATAGCACTTCATAGCGAAACCTTTAGACACCTCAATCATCGCCCTCGACACGTTACCACAGCCGTAGAGGCCGAGAGTAGAGCCACGGATCTCCCTACCAGAAGTAGCATCGAAGTGGTTCCTCTTCATGGCGATCAGAAGAGCAAACACCATCTCGGCAACGGCGTTAGCATTCTGACCAGGCGTGTTCTCGACAACAACATGATGCTTGGAAGCAGCATCGAGATCGATGGTATCAACACCAGCACCAGCGCGAACAACAATCTTGAGATTCTTGGCACGGTTAAAGAACTCCTCATCGAGCTTATCGCTCCTGACAATGCAGGCCTCGGCAGACTCGGCAGCAGAGTACAGCTCCTCCTGAGTCTTGTAACCCTCGATCTTGCCAAAGGTTAGACCGTTATCCTTGCATATCTTCTCAATACCGTCGACGGCGATCTTATTGAAGGGCTTGAAAGTAGCTAGAAGAACGGAAGGCATTTGGATATAGATGAATTCACTAATAATTCTACGAAGCAACACAATCCAACTGCTGTCTGCACCCTTAACAATGAACGAAAGTCCATGAACAACACGAACGTATATTCCTAAATTCACACACTCTGAGAACACTCACATAACTCTTGTACTAATTGAGCTAAAAAAGCTCTAGCGTGGGGTAAGCCGGGGACAAGGATATTGTGTAGCAAGTCTCCAAGCTTCGTAGTGACCCAAGCGTTCGCTCTGTCAGAGTCTGGTACTCGTGTGTAGCTCATATCCCATAATTTGTCGTATGTAATCGTTACGTCGGGTCGTCCACAGCCAAAAAAATTTCTTCTGTTCGCGTTCTGACATCCTCTATGCCCAATGCTTCCAATATTATTCGTACCGCAAAGTCTTCGAGATACGAACAAACCTCGAATCCCAGAGTAACCACACTTCGCATGTGTGATATGACCGAGGCCAAGAGCTATATCGTCGTTTGGGAAAGTTGAATTGTGAAGACGGTTCGAAGTCGGTATTCATTTAGTCCTATTGAGCCTGGAAATGAGTTAGTAGCATCAACTCCGCGGTAGTATAGTGGTGAGTATTCCTGCCTGTCACGCAGGAGACCCGGGTTCAATTCCCGGCCGCGGAAACTTATGCTCCCAACCTTACTGACATTTTCATACATTTCAAGATGGCCTTCACACTGAAGGCCTCCGTACAACCTGGATATCCGAGATAAGGTACCATCAAGAGCGTCAGACTCTGTACCAATTAATGACAAGTGGACGCCCTCACTCTCTCTGCGCTGCTTGAACTCACTTACGATATAAATCGGCTGATGATGAATATGCATGAGTTGGTAGGAGTCCCAATTCAAGGCCAATCAACCTCCTGTCAGAACCATGCAGGTATCAAATTCTTCTGCCCATCCGATTTCACTCCAAACCGGCAAAATATTGCATCGGGATGTTCCATTTTCACCAATGTGCACTTATTAATTTTCTGGTTCATAACCAGAAAGTAATGAAAGGCACGCTTTCACAGCTCGCTCTGATACCTGTCGCAATGTGTTGTCAACGCACAGTTGGCAATACAACGGTGGCAATCATCTCTGCCCATCGAGTGCGATCATTACCGACCAAGCGCGACCGCTTCCGCAATACTATAAAGGTAGTCCTGGATAGTGAACGCGGAAGCCGCACATTGCTTCCACATGAGAATCATCACGACTCTCCACAAAGGCCCATTGCTATCGACATAGATTTTCTACCGCAGAGACGGGGGTCACCTCATCGCGTCACGATTTCGTGCATCAGGGATCGAGCTCCGGAAAACTAGGCCTTTTCCACGGAATGAAAAGTCCCATCAAAAGAACCCACAAACGTGTAGGCGACTCATCCTTAGCCCGCCATAGTCTCGTCCAGAGCCCGATGGCCGCGGAAGAAGGAGCATTCGCATAGATAATAACATCCCAATTGGGATTCAATAAGAGACATCTCGCGAATGCTATGTACAAGCGCCTTGGAGAATACAATAGCAACTCCGCGGTAGTATAGAGGTTAGTATTCCTGCCTGTCACGCAGGAGGGCTGGGGGAAAAGACTGTCCCAGGGAGGGGGGAAAAGAAAAAAGAAAAAAAGAGGAGGAGAAAGGAAGGAAAAGGAAAAAGGAGGAAAAAGGAAAAGAGAGAGAAAAGAGGAGAGTTAAACATAGCTGGTCAATAAACAGTGTTTATTGATTCACTATTATTCGCTTCGGTGTTGATTGTTTATCAAGCACTCAAGATCGAAGTGAATCATAAGACTATGGCATTTCCGTTGACAGCGGACTTATGCAGGAGCCTACTTGCTAACACCTGCTATATCTCGCTTCGCCATTCTGAGTCTCCTTGGACCGAAACCTGGAGTTTCTCGCTACCCATCCAGTTTCGGACACCACTAAACACTGTGGTCGCCGTCAGACAATTTCTTGCTGCTCCATCAGAGATTCCTCGCATCTCGGACATAGCTTTTCCTGTAAAGAACTCCTTTCTCTCTGGCTCCAGAGCATACAAGTAAGTGTAAGAGGATTAGAGTTGAAGATGAAAAGGCTTGTGAGAGCGAGCATACGAGAGACAAGTAGAGAGCTGGGCTTAGGCCTGGGTAGATACCGCCACGCGCATTCGCTGGTCGACGACCAGTGGTCGTGATATAAGTATCACCAGGCTCGCTGGTGGCACCAGCGATCTTCATCATCTTTTGCCATCCTTTTCTCCGAAAGCCCGGGAACTCCGCCGTCAGACAATGGGAATGCGGCACGAGAGGAAGGGTACTGATTGATATCCACTGTGTCATTCTCCACTACGATAGGACTCCTGTCACAGGAGTGGAAAGGGGACCCCCTCAGGGGGTACTAGCAGCTGGGGTCGTTGAATTGACGAGACCCTCAGGAAGGGCAGGTACTTCGTGGAAGGTACAGGTGCATTTGCAAAGAAGTCCGGTAAATCATTCACCGTGAATGGATCCCTCTGGCCGATCACCAGTTAAGGCTGGTAGTTGACTCTTGCGTACCTGTGCAGAAGCATGGAAGTCATTGTATTCCTGGTATACAACCTTGCTGGACGGCTTAGGAGCTTCCCCACGACCAAAACAACTTTGGCCTGTGTGAGCTAGCGTTTTGATGGTAGTGTATTACTGAGAGAGATTTTTCGGACTCTTTTTGAAATGCTGATATGAAGCCAGGAATGACGACATGGAAGAAAAGACCGGCGCGGAATTTTGGGCGAGCGAAATTTTTAGCCCCCTTGGTTTAGTATGGTATAGTGACCCGAACATTGAGACCCCTATTCAATATCAACGAAACATCTTCAACTAAGTTCGAGATGGAGGATAGTTTTGGAAGCATGAAAGCAAAAAATAAAGCCAAGCCCGCCGCGAAGCGGTGGGCTTGGCTTTATTTTTTGCTCGGTTTTAGGAGATGGTATAGTGATGGATTAGTAGGCTAGGATCCTGTACTGTCCCGCAGGAGGGCTGGGGGAAAAGACTGTCCCAGGGAGGGGGGAAAAGAAAAAAGAAAAAAAGAGGAGGAGAAAGGAAGGAAAAGGAAAAAGGAGGAAAAAGGAAAAGAGAGAGAAAAGAGGAGAGTTAAACATAGCTGGTCAATAAACAGTGTTTATTGATTCACTATTATTCGCTTCGGTGTTGATTGTTTATCAAGCACTCAAGATCGAAGTGAATCATAAGACTATGGCATTTCCGTTGACAGCGGACTTATGCAGGAGCCTACTTGCTAACACCTGCTATATCTCGCTTCGCCATTCTGAGTCTCCTTGGACCGAAACCTGGAGTTTCTCGCTACCCATCCAGTTTCGGACACCACTAAACACTGTGGTCGCCGTCAGACAATTTCTTGCTGCTCCATCAGAGATTCCTCGCATCTCGGACATAGCTTTTCCTGTAAAGAACTCCTTTCTCTCTGGCTCCAGAGCATACAAGTAAGTGTAAGAGGATTAGAGTTGAAGATGAAAAGGCTTGTGAGAGCGAGCATACGAGAGACAAGTAGAGAGCTGGGCTTAGGCCTGGGTAGATACCGCCACGCGCATTCGCTGGTCGACGACCAGTGGTCGTGATATAAGTATCACCAGGCTCGCTGGTGGCACCAGCGATCTTCATCATCTTTTGCCATCCTTTTCTCCGAAAGCCCGGGAACTCCGCCGTCAGACAATGGGAATGCGGCACGAGAGGAAGGGTACTGATTGATATCCACTGTGTCATTCTCCACTACGATAGGACTCCTGTCACAGGAGTGGAAAGGGGACCCCCTCAGGGGGTACTAGCAGCTGGGGTCGTTGAATTGACGAGACCCTCAGGAAGGGCAGGTACTTCGTGGAAGGTACAGGTGCATTTGCAAAGAAGTCCGGTAAATCATTCACCGTGAATGGATCCCTCTGGCCGATCACCAGTTAAGGCTGGTAGTTGACTCTTGCGTACCTGTGCAGAAGCATGGAAGTCATTGTATTCCTGGTATACAACCTTGCTGGACGGCTTAGGAGCTTCCCCACGACCAAAACAACTTTGGCCTGTGTGAGCTAGCGTTTTGATGGTAGTGTATTACTGAGAGAGATTTTTCGGACTCTTTTTGAAATGCTGATATGAAGCCAGGAATGACGACATGGAAGAAAAGACCGGCGCGGAATTTTGGGCGAGCGAAATTTTTAGCCCCCTTGGTTTAGTATGGTATAGTGACCCGAACATTGAGACCCCTATTCAATATCAACGAAACATCTTCAACTAAGTTCGAGATGGAGGATAGTTTTGGAAGCATGAAAGCAAAAAATAAAGCCAAGCCCGCCGCGAAGCGGTGGGCTTGGCTTTATTTTTTGCTCGGTTTTAGGAGATGGTATAGTGATGGATTAGTAGGCTAGGATCCTGTACTGTCCCGCAGGAGACCCGAGTTCAATTCTCGGCCGTGGAATCTTTTCATCAGCATGAGTAACATTACATGTGTATTACATCGTGCATATTGACCATCCTATGTTAGTTTTTCCTCAACATCCAAGCACTAAACTCTTGACTACACTGAATCGATCCACATTTCAATACAGCGCCACCTGAGTCAGACTCACTACAGCAGGACGTCCTTCGTTGCCCTCATAGGAAAGACAACGACCGACTCCGCCAACCGTTAGCGGCTAACTCGAATTGATATTCAACAGGAGTGGCAGAGCAGACACGCCTCGCATCTCCGACAGTTGGCGTCTATCAGTGTCGAACAAGTTTTGCTGCCCGAACAACAATACAAACGTTATTCACGAGTCGACGAGTGCAGGAAAGACCAATCCATCACTGAAGCCCATAATCCACTCATGTGCCTCCTCGCGAACAATCACATGCTATCACGACCATCATGCACCCCTCATATTGCCCAGTAGCGATCTCCGACTCATAACGCACACAACAAAAATATCTTCTCGAAAAATAGTGAATGTCTATCACGAGATATGATACTGTTATGTTAAATAGTCAGGATTTGGACTCCACTCGGGGATGATAGTGAGCACGAACATCACAGGAAGTTGGTATACGAACCTGAATCACAACAAGAATCACTTCTTAGACTCGCCGCTGTCGGAGAATCTCGATAAAAGTCATCGGCAGGAATCCTGCCGCAGGATCGAGGCGACAACAACCCAACCGGAATCGCTCTCAAATACGGCTAGAATACCTCGCCACGATGTCTTTCTTATGCTGCGGTCTCAATGAGGCGTCTATTATCTCTTCTGGTGTTGGTGACGAGCCATACAGTTCCTCGTAGACCTAAAGCCACATGTGTTTCGCAAAACCAACAACACCCCCCCAAAAAACTTCACCTGCATCTCGATCCCTGTCTCATCTGTGATCTCTCCCCGCTCCTGTATCTTTTCCCTCACTGCAGCAGCGCGTTTCTCTTTTTCCTGCTCTATCAGCTCATCTCGCTTCGCCCTTCGTTCACGTAATCGATCCAACCTATTCAGCTGAACACAAACCATCACCCTTCACAATGAGCGCCTTCGTCCAGAATTTCATCACTAAAAACACGGCTGACCAATTTTTGTGATAAAGTGTCCACAGCGAGCAGAAAAAACGAAATGACTATGAAAAATTTTATAATTTTTTATGCAACCATTTCGACTTGGATTGTTTTTGACTGATAATCGATAAACCGTAAAAATTTGGTTTCAACACATATAAACTTTTTTCCAATTTCACTCACCTGCACATCTAGAGATGGACGAGCACCGATAGCAGCGCCCGGCGCCCCTCTGGCCTGCCAAACCCTCTTCATGAGCTCGTCCAAGCGCATTAGATACAGAATGCTCATCACTAGTATCAAGTAGTAGCCGTTGATAGCTGAATTGAGGTGAAACACCGGTCGGGCGAGTCTCTCACTTACATAGGTCCAGCACGAAAGCCAGGAAAAAGACACGTAAAATCATTGACAGTCGACGTCGAATTTCCGCCCCTGCTTCTGAAATGGCAAGAAAACCCTCAAAAAACTACAATCTAAGACAATTCACTGATAGGAACCAACTACATTGTATTATCGAATTTAGATAAATTACTCTGAGGCAAAATGAACTGACTTACCCATAGCTCGCCGATCCGCATCCACATCGCGTTGTTGCTGCTGCTGCTGCTGATGACGATGATTTTGATGTACTGCAGCATCTGATGAGCAACGACGACGATTGAGCCCTCCCAAGCTTCCAGTGGTGTTATTACTCCCCTGTACTTCTCCACGACCAGCTGTACTAACTGACAGGACACAAGTAATTTCACAAAAATTTCGAACGTCCGACATAACGCCTAGCGTTAAGCCATACACATGCACGGGCCCATCTCATTGACCTCTATGATCGTTATCGTGTGTTATCAGAAGTTAATGCAGAAGTTACAGTGCGTGCCAATTTGATATGCAAATGTGTGTTACTTTTTGAGGTTGACGAAAATCAGTGTGAAACTCTATTGCATATACAATGTAACATGTGTTGTGATGAAAGTACTCGTTTAGAACTCGGATAGCAACAACTTGTTCACTATAATTTTCCTTTCAAAGTAATACGCGTTTGCATATCAAATTGACACGTACGGTATGTTTGGTTTCCTCAACTGAGCTCGTAAGTTTCCTCACTAATTATGAGAATTTACACACGATTTCGGGTAGAAGTGTACAAAAATCAACGATAATTTCCCAAATTCTCACCAACACATGTAGTTGACCATGTTCATCTATTCCCACACTGCTAAAATAAACTCGCCATAAAATTCTCATGTCGAAAAAATACGATTGGTAAAATTGCCACTGTAACGATTAATACATTCCCCACAAGATGGACCCGTACTCACCCGTGCTTTGTGGTTGCCGAACTTGAACCAATATTGACGAAGTAATCGGCATCGGACCATCAGATGAAGATGCATTAAAATGTGGGAGACTCTGAAGGGATCTTGACGAGAGCCAACGATGAAACCACTCTACTTCAGCTGTGTGTAACGCTTCAACGGTTTTTAGTTGTGTTAATATCAAACGCCACAGATGCTCCTGAGGGGGGAAACCAAACACGTCGACTCTCACAGGAAATATTAAACTTGAGTAATCTCGCAATTCACAATTTCTGTTTTTTCATCACATTGATTAACATTCGCGTAAATGGATGTTCCCCTCAAACGATTGCGTATCGTGTAATTTCTGCATTTCACCACTCACATTTCACCCTTGATATGAAAAAGAGAAACGTACTTTACATTTCATTTCGTGGGAAACAACTGTGTTCGCGGAAAAATATACCTTTTGTAATTTACAAGGAGTACTGCACCACTTCACGTCAAACAGGTGAAACTCTATTGATTATATACAAGTCTATATAACCGTTCGAGTTCGGTCATGATGATAAATATTTATAATTTTCTCATGCTAAGATTTCCCAATACTCTAGATTTTAGATTCTTAATCCTCGAATTGACCACGTTGCACACTCTTCATTTTAGAGCAACACTCCTTCCACCGAGCAGACAGTAGCCGCTATAAAAGTATGACTGCAGCAAACTCAGCAGCAGCAGCTCCGAAATGAACAATGACCGAGCCCTAGTATATGTAAGCTCTAAATAAACTCGGAATATAAATTCCATGAAGGGCATGTGTCAGAAATGAAGTAGTTGATTTCGTAAATTTCTCGAAATTTTCCGTAAATTTCCGAGTATGTCGAAAACGAATTCACATGTATACGCCAGATTTCAAACAGGTATCAACGTCGACCACGCTGTAATTAGCCAAATTCTTCCTATGAGTTTTCTAAGGTGCCGTTCAGGCAGATCCCACTACGCATAGACGTACTTGTGAGTCACACAGCATCATCATATTTTCACAATATCGTCTGTCCTTGATCATCCTCCCTGGATGCTCTATACAAGGCATCTGCAACGCTGACGGCTGCCCTTCAGCAGGGGACTTCATCCGAAGAAAATAACTACAACTACTTACTGATGTGGGTGATTCCGTGGAGCCCTTCTAACGCGAGTTGTTTTACTGTTACCGTCAACTATGACAATATGAGCATTCGAGCTGATCTGAACTTCTAAGAATAATCTCCTTTAATTTTAGCCATCACAAAATCTATAAACATAAACTACTATGATGTTGCCGATTACAGGTGAGTAACTTCGGTGGAATTCCCAATAAGAGAATCATCCAGGAACTCATTTTCGATTTTCCACGTATGGCTAGGAACACATTCTTCAATCAGTTTCCCATGTAAATGTCATCATCACAGTAGTCACATTTTCGTCATTGTTATCAACCCCTAGAAAACGTTATTTCTCAAAGTCCCTGATCCCAATTGTAACTGCCCAAGCTTTTCCCATCTTATCACCACCAACACATGTAGTTGACCATGTGCATGTTTTCCCCCCATATTGAAGATGAAGTCTACTGTATCAGAGACACCAGTTTACATAGTATTCCCATATTCACTATGAAAATCGAGCGCATTAGTAGCCACTTTACCCTTTGGACATCATGTTACCAAAAACCCACTACGACGAAGTCAAAGTCATTTCTCTTACCCATACCACTCCATCGTCACTTCCCAGACTCAAACACAACAGTGCAAACACTCGAGCTTTTATAACAATAGTATGATGACGACGATAGTAGTACGCTTCCTCATTAAACCCATTCAGAGTCGAGTCCCGACGACACTGTAGGATCAGATCCTTCACCACGATGGTCGTCTTCCCCCGAATGCACATCAATATCCACAACTTGCGGTTCGCCAAAGTCCAGCATGTGGGGCTCATCATGCGGCTGTGGGATCGCCTTCACTGATGCCGTCAATATACCACCACTAGCATGATCCAAGTCGTTCTTAGCCTCCGTAGTGGTCTCCCTTATAGGCCCTACAGGGTAACAAGATTCCCCACTGACGATGATAATGCCGACATAGGCACTAGTGAGCTCATCTTCTGATATAAGGCTCACGACACGACCTATACCAGAGCAAATCAGAATACTCTCGTTGATCGGTCGGTTGCCTCGTGTAGTAGTAGGAGGGGTAGTCAAACCGATCGCAGCCTGGTAGTCGTCCCCAGCCGCTACGATGGTCCGTCTCGGTGGGCCCAGAATGTGTATTCGATCAGCTGTAGGAGCTCTCTGATAGGCTACGAATGCGTTACCCAAACCACCGATAGAGATGAGCATAACACCTTCTGGCAAATGTTGTGCTGCTGGAGTGTGCAGGGTTTCCCCGGCTCCCTCAGGACCGACACCACAAAGGGCAGCGGCGGCAGCGGCGGCCTCGGCAGCTTGTTGACTCTGTAAGGCGTCTCTGCGCATCTTCAATAGAGTTGAGGAGTTGGGCAGTCCACCATGATGATGATGTTCAACAGGAATACCATTATCTTGACGCTTCCTGCCCCGACTGCGACGCCCGTCACCGTCATCAACCTCAGCCCGTAGTTCAGCCGACAGAGCTTCCAGAGCTGCGATGTCACCTCCCAGTTGCTCGAGACGAAGGCGATCAGAAAGTGCTTCTTCGACAGTTTTGCGAGTGGGACCGGAGAACCTCCTTCCTTTACTGCAGAAACCACCAACAAATGCTTTCCTGGAGCGTTGAACCCCCTTGGGAAGAGGGATGCCAGGAAGTTCTATATCAGCACCAACACCACTATCACGATGTTGATGAATTCTATGGCGTTGCTTCTTACGAGGTGGAGGTGAGGTGGTAGCTGCGACTGCCGCCGCTTGAGAGAGCATCGATTGCGAAAAGCTCTCCATGGTCGCAGCAGCCGCCAGAGCAGCAACAGCGGCTTGGTCGTCGGGGTTCACTCCGCTTCCACTCCCATCTATTCCGAGGTGGCCAGTCAGACCACATACAGCTGCAACTGCATTGGCTGTTGATAAGTCGTCGTCCATTATGCAGGAAAAGTGCAGGTTCAAATACTTGCACGAATGTAGTGCGATTTCTGAATAAGCCAGCGCCAGCACGCGAAACGGTTTTCCAGGCGAGACGAGACAAGGGCGAGCGAGAAAATTTTCATTGGTTCTATAGTGTAGTGGTTAGCACTCTGGACTTTGAATCCAGCGACTCGAGTTCGAATCTCGATAGAACCTTTTTTCGACATAATCGAAATCTATCAAGGTCGAATTGTGAAACGTGATGCATCGTCAACGATGCTGGCTCACTATCTTTAGAACCCTAAGGATTCGCTGCCGACCCACAACAGGTAGTCTCAGCTGTGTGCTATCCTATCCCCATTTCTTCGACAGCCCCCACCCACGATTGATTGGCTATGAAAAACATAAAATGGAGAAACTGTTCCTTTTTGTCGTGACTCAGAATCGCTAACACGATGTCATAAGGACCTCTGCCGCCATCTATTCGGGCGGATGGATGTCCAGCCATGCATCCGCGTGTAGTCGCGCACAATGGGCAGAAGCAGTAACGAAAACACACTTACATAAGCGACCAAAACTCGGAGGGAATCCACGCGTGCCAGCTGGATTCCCTCTCGAGTCGGGTCATTGAGATAGGCTTCAAATTTTGGTCTCCAAGGATCTCAAAGCCAATTTTGCCTCATATTCGGTTCAGTCCAATGCCATAGGAGCATCCCGCCTTCATACAGTTTTCATCCTACGTTGATAGAGATGTTTGAATGAAGCTTTTAGGCTTCGTCGACGCATCATGTTGATCCATCATCGCCGGTTAGATATTCTCATAACTTCTCCGGAGCGAGCTGGTCCTTCTATCGCTAGTGTCCTATAGCTTCCTCAACAACTAGTTTACGCTCCACTAGGTTTCTTCTGCAACTCTGAGGCCTCAAATGCCCGGAGTCGTGAACGCCAATACAATAACAGTAACTCAGGATTGCCCCTTCTGTAATATCTGCCAAAGTTGAAGACTTCATCGTACGATCTTATCGCGTTGCGAGCAACCTTAGGCTCTCATCTTGAGATCAGTTTCGTGTACTAACGCAAATCAACAGTGCTGACCGAGACCACTCATATATACATGAGGCTTCAAAAACCGACAGCAAATATCGTGACCACACAACACATGCCCGAGGAGACACGTGATCCTTCTTTTGGCCATACACACGTTAGCGTTCCTGCATAGACAGAATCACTAATTCGCGGAAATCTCTTTGCAGACAATTCCTCATTATGTCTGAAAGCTTTCAGATAGTTTTGGTAGATGAAAGGCCACGGTTATACAAAGCTGACTGGCTACTTTCAGGCTACTATCGGCCGGTACGATAACTCACTGTCACTCTCAGACTCCCACCAACAAGAGGTCGCAGCATGCAAGGTAGAGTTGTTCCTCTGCATCACCGCACAGGTCACTAAAGTGCACACAATAGCGCAAGTTGATGCAGTAATGGCTCACCCATATATTTATAAGTCTTCCACCTTTCCTTCAACAAGTCCATGACCATCTCACAGATCTGGTCACTCCAGGCCTTCGTATACGACTCGTCGTACCTGTAACTCACACACTGTCAGCAAGACTCCCCCGTATAGCCACCACAGAGCTATCGATATTTGACAGAAAAGCAAGGTAAGTATCTACGACCCTTTATTAAGACTCGTTTGCTTGTTCTGGACAGCTACGTTCGACCCGACGTGAATCAATAACAATTCACATCATCATCTACCCGAACGGGAGTGATTCTAGTAATTATAGGCTAGTCTATGCCTTGATACTCTCAACAGCATTGATATCAGCGAGATCTAGTCGTGAGATAAACCTACGGTCTGTCACTGAAGGTCCGATCGATCTCGTTATATACAAGCCTCGACAGCTCTTCATCATCCCATTCCACCTACAAGGAAGAAGGCCGTGTCGTTCGTTCGATAGCCGTCGATAGGAGACGCTTACTTCCTCGACTTGATCTTCCTGATCCATGAGATCGTTCAGCTGTGGAGTGAGAGGAGCGACTCTACATCCTTCATCGAGTAAAGGGCGAGCGAGATTGTACATGCGCACATCGCTCCGTTTCAGAGCAAAATCATTTCGCCCCAGTCGTTAGTCCGCGTCACATCGGCCTCGTCACCACTTCATAATGCTTCTCCTCGCTACTTACGTTGGTCTAATCACCTACGTTGCGGGTGGTGGCTGCCGTAAGGCTATGTTCAGTGATCACTCTAATCACGAGGTCGTCGTCTCACCTTTGCCTCATACCTACACAGATGAGCATCATTTGCCTGCTACCTTCGACTGGCGTCACCACAACGGTGTCAATTACATTACCAAGGTTCTCAATCAGCATGCCCCGAAGTACTGTGGCTCCTGCTGGCTTCATGCCGGCGTTGGTGTCATCAACGACAGGCTCAAAGTGGCCAACAAGGCTCAGTTTCCCGAGGTCAACGTCGCCCGCCAAGTCGTCCTCAACTGCGGACGTGACATCGCTGGCTCTTGTCATGGTGGCGAAGATTTTGGTGTGTACAAGTTTGCCTATCTCGAGGGTCTACCGGACGACCAATGCCAATTTTACCGCGGCGAGGACGGTCAGTGCTCCCCAATTGATAACTGCATCAACTGTGACCCTCCGGCCGGTACTGGGCCTTGCTATCCAGTACAACGTTATGGTCGCTATTTCGTCACGGAGTTTGCCAAAATACCCAACCCGACTCCTCACAAGATCAAGTCTGAGGTCTATCGTCGTGGCCCTATCAGTTGCGGTGTCGATTCTGGTGAAGTTGAAAACGGCAAATACCATCCTGGCGATATTGTCCGAGCGACAACTACCGGAAACTGGAGTCTGGATCATGACATTGTCATTGTTGGTTGGAGTCAAGACGAAGATGGTGAAGAATATTATATCGTGAAGAACTCTTGGGGAACCTTCTGGGGTGATCAAGGGTACTTCCATGTTCAGTCGGGTATCAACGCAATGGGCATCGAACAAGACTGTTCTTGGGCCGTGGTCGACCCCGAGCCTCGTGTCGCCGACTATGGTCCGCCCGATTGGATGCGCATGTTCCCGAGCGCTTTCAAGCCCGTGGAAGATACCGTCGTGGCCGACCCCGTAGTCGTATCATAGGAGTATCGAGTATCAGTCGTGAAATAGCCGATAATGAACTCATTCGTAGTTAACTGTTTCAGTTTGTCAAGTGTCGACTTGCTTTCTAGACAATACACATGTATACGATTGAGTCGACAGAGGTATGTATGAGCGAATTTAGGTTCCACGAAAATTATGCTGAATAGGCAATTTGCTATCATAATTGATGTGGTAGTGTACCGCGTACGGAGTTGCGACTTAAAATTACTAATACACAGAAGGTATCGCATAATATTCTGTCAAGTGTATCGGAATAGATGGTGAGAGTATATGTAAAAGGCCTTTGTCTACGATGTTAGGCCAGTCGCATATATGAGTATGACATTCACGCTATGAAACATGTGAGTCATAGGCTACTAGCCTATAATTGGGTTGCACTAACTCAAAAAACAATTTTGATATATGCAAGTTAGCTGCATGCAGATAAGCAACAGCAATGGTCCGAACTAATTGTTGAATTGTGTTGTGGTGGCCAATAGAGGCTTCATTTCAACGTCACTTGAATGCCGCCAGTTCTAATGTGTCCAGCATTGTCTCGTGCGCACTCAGCCGCTCGCGTCTCCGCAAGAACATTCTGCCAGAATCGATCCAACTTTCGGCTCTCGAGCGGATTGCAGATCCCTGATAAGACTGACTGCAACAGAATCGAATCACTCACGTTACCAAGATCACGCAAGCCAGCCGAGCCCGTCATTTGCGGTCCATCGATTCCGTTCGACAATATCGTGTCGGCCAACTCCGACAGCTTTGGACCTGACAATTCGGATAATTTGATGCTGCCTCGATAGCGGAAAAAGAGACTCGGAATTTGAGTAGATGGCAACGCCCGTATCCACTCGGCAAGCTGCTCGGGGTTCTTGTCGCCGCCTATGGATGGCCTGCAAGTCGGAGAGCCCCTCGACTCGATTATCGAAGGCCGCTTCTTCGGCTCTCCAAGAAGGGAACTCCTGCGTGTGTTTGTCATATGTGATGCTCCCGTCGAAGACTTTCTGACCTGAGATTCACAAATCTCTAGCATGGGCACAGCGCAAAAGTCTCACAGCAGGTCCTTGGCCTCGACTCGGTTCAGGACGGAGCATTCGAATAGGCATGTCGGTGCCCGCTAGTGCCGCGCGGAGAATCTCTATGCCCACCAACGCTTCCTTGGAGACTGTCAGGATAATAATCAAACTACCCATTCACAGAGTGAACAGGTTACCTTCCTTCGGAGACTTTTTAGGAGCTGCTCGCTTTCTGAGTCGTCTGCGGCCGACAGGAGGCCGATGCTCCCCCAGTGTAACATCAAAACCGTCACTCTCGCTGGAGACAGGGCATCGCGCTCCTCCTGATTCCCGAACGTCGGACACTATTGGAGAGCTTCCCGGAGTAGCAGAAGAGGTAGACGGCGCGCCGTAGTAAGCACCTGCCATGAAGACTGGTGGCCAAACAGAGTTGCGGGGGGAGCCCCACTAGTGTCGCCATCAGAGCTGCTCCCAGATTCCCTCTTGGGTACTGTGGTCTCAACGGCTCCCCAAAGGTGATTCCACATCCACTCTGGCAGGAGATCCTCTATCTCTCGATAGGCACTCCTACGATCAAGATTCGCTTTGCCTGAGTGCAAGGACGTGTGGAATCTTGTAGTGAGCGCGATGACTCTACTGGCCAGTCTATCGATGACTGCTTGCAGCCACAGCATCGCTGTCAGATTCTGCTGGGGCCCGCCTCCGTCGATACCGACTATACGTACGGAACCCATAGTCTCCTGTTGCCCTTTACGCCGCTCTCCCCTACGCAATAGAAAAATTCCAGAAGGAGGTGCAGTATCGAAGTCTCGCACTTACATATCACGGATGTCTCTGTCTGATGCCGTACTGGAGTCTTGACGGCCTTTGGGTAAGGGAGGCGCCCGCGAAGGTGGAGGAGGCACTGCTGTGTCTCGCTGTCGGATGGTATTCTGCTGCAACCATTCATACGGTTCAGCCTGAGAAAGGCCTCCTTAGAGAGCAGCATAGATTTTCTGCCTCTCGAATCACTGGACGATGTTCCATCGATACGCAGGGGAGCGATCTGGGCTCTTCCTTACAGTGCTGGGAGATGCGCTAAGTGCGACGATCTTCATCCCACTTTTCACTGCTGTAACGGCCTCATCAACGATAGGCACTGGTGGAGCAGTACTCGTTATGGACGGCAAAGAGGCACACGGCTCGAGACTGGTCTCGGATGCGGCTGCATCCGGAGAGTCCCACATCGGCGGTGATGAGGAATGATGATCTTGGACGGAGCACGACTCTACCGATGGGCGCCTATCACGAGGCTTTGGTGGACAATGTGGGAATCAATAGACTCAGGCGGGCGAGGAGATCCTGAGCTTGTTATGGTCACCTTGTGAGTGGAAATTCTCTAAACCACGCCTTTCTGACTTTGTTAGCAGGCACCATCGTTAACCCGTCGATTTGTGCATCCGAGACAAAGTCTTGTGGTAGACGAAGCACTCCTGCAAGGTGATCTCCATCGAGCTGAAAGATATTAGAAGAATATCGGAGTTTAAAGCGAAGTTGACTATCAAACAATAGCAAATGACAGCTGTGGGGTTCGAACCCACGCCCTTTCGGACTGGCGCCTTAGGCTAACGCCTTTGACCCCTCGGCCATAACTAGTCGAACAGGGGTCG